CTCGGCCGCGTCCTACTTCCAGAATATTCCCGACGGCTCCAAACGACACCGCACCTGTTCCCTCTCTGGCTCCGCCCTTAACCACGCCTCTTTCGGGAACTCTCCAGACGTTCTCAGCTACTACCCCCGTGGCCCCTCGTTCGCCTTTGGCCCACATTACTCACCCCGGCCCATCACGTGCTTAACCCGGTGCCCGGGTGACTCGTCCTCACATGGCCCTTACCACCAGCCGCCCCCCACCGCACTCTCCCAGTGGCCCCCTCTGTGGTGATTCCCTGCGGCGCTGGTGGATGCTGCAATCCCCGAGTCTGCCGCTAGGACTCGTCAGGCTTCCTCCTGCTCGCACCCAGTACCATGCCCCTAGTGGCCCACTGAGTGGTACTGCACGGTGTGTTAGCCTCTGCGCCTGTTTCAACGGCACTTGGCTCTACGCGCCGTAGTGATCCATTCAACATCACTACACATTTATAGAGAAAAACGCATTGAGGAAATACTGACACCTAATGGGCAATGTGTGTCAACAACATGAAACAAGCTGTCGTGGCAATGTGAAATTTACGAGTTCCAATCGCAGTTAGGTTTCGACTCAGCCGATCATTCCTTTAAGATACTTTATACATGTACGATTGTTTTTGGTAAACAGTGGTTATACTATGCAAACGCTACCCCCTGTAAGTTGATAACAGAATTTCACAGTGAACTTCAACCATCATCTCTCCGACTCTTAGTCCTGAGATGGAACAATATTTCTATCACTCCATCTGTTCGGTTTGCATCCTCTTGCACACGTTCCATTCCTTTGTCACTCTTTCACTTGATCATTGGCCATCAGCCCTTCTCGTGACGCGTCCTGCCCAACCCACTTGTCAGAACAGTTTTAATGAGAGTTGGCAGTGCTCCGGCCATCTGGCTTTGGCTCCAGAATGGCCCCAATAGTTCAGCTCTGGGCTGGTTCCACAGCTGAAGGAGACCTCTCTGCTCCATCTGCAGCTCCAGGCTGGCTCCAGCAGCCCCTGCTCCAGCTCTGGAGCTACCAAAATTCCAGTTACTTTTACCCGGCTCAAATTCTGGAGCCCTAGGAACCCATAATCGGCCATATATTTTCTTGACAGTAACAGCATCGTCCTCTTGCAGTTTAAAAACAAAAAATTGTACATAGTGTAACCATGTGATAGCTTAAATTTATAATCACGCAAGGGCATCTTTGGGAGGTGTGTGCATGGCGTCTGACTTTCACGGTGGCCAGAAAGGCGTATTAATTTAGCGATGTTTTTTATTGTCAAAGTTTTGGGTAACAATTTAATCAATTTGTAGTTTAAGTTGTTGAAAGCAACACAACTTTACGTGCAAATGTCCCTCATATTGGCGCCTCGGAATGTCCTGTTCAAGTTCAAATGGTGCGCGTTAGAAATGACCCGTATTGATGAGACAATTGGCTTTGATTTAAAACTTTCGTGACTGCAGGAATTCATAGGCCAATGAGACAATTGGCCTTCTCAGTCCAGCTACAGGTATGAAAGCAACTCCTAAAATAATGTTGTTGCACTGCCCTCTGCTGCCGACCACGTAGCTCTGCAGCAGGATAACCTAAAATATCCTGCGAGCAGGTTATCTTGCACAAACTATGAAACAATAACAATTTTTATTTTTACCAAGTAAGTCCCACTGATATATCTAGCTCTTTTTTAGAAGCAACCTGGCCCACAAATGATAGCTCAACGAAGTGGCTTATCATGTGTAAATCTTTAGCAGCCAAATACTGTGAACGCTCGTTTCTAAATGTGGAGGGAAACCCGGAGGGCCCGGAGAAAAATCCACGCGACCACGGGGAGAACACGCAAACTCCAAATATACAGCAGGCTTCAGGGTCGGGACTGACCCCACCACCTCCTGTATACCTGGCGACATAGTTAACATCTCGCCACCGTGTTCAGCTTCCGAAATTTAATGATATCGGGAACATCACACATGATTTGGTCACAGGCTAAAAAAAAATCATCATAATGTCCTTCAATTAAATTATGCTGAAGGGATTACAGAGCATTTTTTAATGATGGAGGGTATTTTCTTGATCATTTTATCTTCTTCGTATAGCTGATGTTGACGTAGAGCAACAACTACAATTTTATATTGAGGTGGTTGAGCCGGATAACTTATCTCACCTTATATTGATTTATATAGTGCCTTATTCCAAGGTGCTTTGCAACAATTAGGGGAAAATAGTACATCAAATGATAGCGGTTTGGTGACAGGAGGGAGTAGTTAAGGTGTGGTTGGGGGAGGCCTGGTCGTAGCTAGGTGGCCGGGGCAGGGAGTTATCGGTAGCAGGGTGGAGCTCGGGAGACGAGATGGAGGTTGTTTTAAGGGAGGAACGGAAGCAGGGTGGTGAAGGTGATTGTTATATGTGCAGTGGGAGTTGGTACCAGTGAAGGGGAGCAAGAAGAGGAAAGGAACGAAAGCGAGATTGAGAGCATAGAGGACGCGATGGGACATAGTAAGATATGAGAGAAGCAACATAATGTATGGCAAGAGCGTGGAGGAATGTGTGGTGCCACGGCCGCGGAGCAACTCCGCAAGTGCCGCGACTCCCCACAGCCCCCCACCCTGAGCACATGCACACACGCAGCACACACACGTAGTGTCTCGGCGGGGGATCGCCTGGCACAACGAGTTTTCATCCGAAGGGCCTCTAGGTGGGAAGTCCCGCGGTTTCCCAGTGCAGGGTTTTGCGCCGTGAATAAAAACGTTAGCACAGAGCATCGGTGCAGTGTTTGTGGTTAAGTCTGTTGGAGTGGAGTGAAGGCGTAAGCAGGAAGACCGAGACGAGACGAAAGTTGTTAGGAAGTGAACCACGAGTTTAACAGCACAGAGTGAGATGAGGTGATGTATTTTTCGAATACACCTGATTCGACGCGTCTGCCGTGTGCATTGGAATCCAAGAGAATCAACGTTTTGATTGAATATCTCTCGGGCAATTTCGCGAGTCCATCGCGTGCGTACGTTGACATTGCGGGGGAGCGGTGGTGTCTTGGTTAGCGCACTGCACTGCGAATTCATCCACCCGAGTTCGACTCCCGCTTACTGCCACTGCCGGTGATGATTATCCGAACCGGTACTGCGTCTCCTCCTCTAGGTCAAACGAGTACCTGCTGTGTGTGTCTGTGTGTAAAACATTGTCACTGGGGTGAGGCAAAGGCAACTGGGCGGCGTGGTGCTGGCCACCCACCCTCCTCTCGTGTGCCGTGCCGGCCTTCGTAGGTTCTACTCGCTAACAGCACTTGCCCAAACAGTCTTTTAAGTTTAACACGCAGGCTTTTGCGACCAATATTCATAAAATAGGTTTTATGGGTTCGATCGCGTAAATATAAATGTGTCGTTAAACCCGCCACAGCCAAATTAGTAAAGAGGATTTCCCCACAAATCTGACTGTCGCCTGATGAAGCTAGTTGTAATTACTGGTGAAACGTCATACTCAAGATTGTAAATGTTGTAGCTTGGCTCTCCAACACACCGGTGTGCTGTACTCGTACCGAATTGGCACGTTCCGTTGACGTGACAAACCTTACTAGTTGGCTGTGTCGGGTGGTGGCAGATTTTACGACACATTTAACTCAAAAACAAGAGGGATAAGTTGTCTGTTGAGGCTACACGTGGCGATGGGGTTGTGATTAGTTTAACACGTAGGCTTTCGCGACCAATATCATCCATAATAGATGTTTTTTTGTTAGATCACGTAAATATATAAATGTGTCATTAAACCTGCCACCACCCGACACAGCCAACTTGTAAGGGTTGTCACGTAAACATAACATGCCAATTCGTCATAGTACAGCACACCGGTGTGTTGGAGAGCCCAGCCACATCAGAAGTGTGGTCACCACATCTACGCCTCTATATAAGGAACGAAACAGGTGGACCTCTCCACAAATCTGGCTGTCGCCTGATGAAGCTAGTTGTAATTACTGGCGAAACGTCGTACTCAGATTGTAAATGTTATGGCTTGGCTCTCCAACACCGGTGTGCTGTACGAGTGACGAATTGGCATGTTCTGTTTAAACTTGATTTGGAGCTTTTGTGACTGCAGGAATTACTCTTTGGTTCTTTCAGTGAAGTCACATAGAAAGAAAAAATAAATTAAATAGCATACGACGTTTCTATCGCAACACAAGCAATCATCATCAGGTACAAATGATTGCTTAATTTGAGATAGAGACAAAACAGACACGGAGACACATTTCAGTTTCAATTTCATTTATTTGGTATAGACCTGTGAGCCATTCGGCTCTTGAATCGGGTGCAACCACAACAAAGAAAAAACAACATCTTAAAGTGACTGTGCAAACAGAAAATCCAGGAAAAACACAGCAAAATGTTCCAGAAAAAGCACCGTACACCAACGCTGTGTGCAAAAATCCCAGTGGGATGCAAGTCAAACAACAACAACCACAAGACAACTTAGATTAAGGCCATCAGTCTAACTCCGTACTACAACAAACAAACATTGCCAAACCCAAAAAAACTTTTCGAAATCACCAAAAATAAAGCCATAAAAGCAATGTAACAGTGATCATAGGAACTTTGACCGAATTTTCACAATAAATCACATAAACATAGACAGACACATAAGCAGAGAGAGAGATAACACAGAGACACATAGAGAGAGACACACACAGAGTGTTATGTTTACGTGACAACCGTTACTAGTTGGCTTGTCGGGTGGTGGCGGGTTTTCACGACACAGTGCAAAAACAACGCCACCTAACCCAATCCCAACCTCAATTATGGGGTTCGGGTTTGCTGTGCGTGACGTCCCGCCCATTGACCTTCGTTCCCTCCCTCTCGGCGCGCCGATTGGTCAATAAACTAAAGTCCCCCCCCCACCCACCGGCGCCTCGCTCTTACTTGCCCACCGATTCGCCAATGGAGAGCGACTACGCGCTGATTGGCTGTCGCGCGCTTCCCGTTAAAATTCAAATATCACTCCCCCCCCACCCAACTCCGTTCACTCGCGCTTTGGTCACGTGGGCGCACGCCTCGTCCGGGCGCGCGGTTCGCCACGTTAACCACGTTAACCACGTTAACCACGTTCACGTCTTTTTATGTTGCTGTTCTTGTAACAACCACTTTAAGCCATCGTTTGCATCGACACATTTACCTCGTAAGAGCGGGGAAATGCGGCGACGCCGCGGGGCAAAGCTTCCGCAACAAATGAGCGCCGCAGGACAAGAGCGAGAGTGAGCATAAGTCTTCCCGCGCGACACACGGAGTTTCCGTGTTTCTATCCCTTCCTCTTTGTCATCTTTCCCCATCACTTTCCCCCACCTCTCGAGTCGCTAATTACGTCGTTGTTCTTCATGGCGTGCGTAAAAATGCGGAGGCTGTGTGGTTTTTTTATGTTAAGCATCGTGCTGTGTAACGTTTCAATGGGAATCGCTCGCCCGTGCTCGATCCCAACTGCTGGGCGGGACGCCATGTTACGATCTTGTTGTTCACATTCTTAGTACTTTCGGTAAAGTCACGTTGAAGGGAAACAACAAAATAATAAAATATATATAAAACAATAAAAATTCTCACGTTTCGACCATAACACAAACGGACGACCGTTTTATATATTTTATTATTTTGTTGTTTCCCTTCAACGTGACTTTACCGTGACTTTACTGAATTACTGCAGTCACGAAAGCTTTGAATCAAAAGATCTTGTTGTTATTGTTCGGGTCGAGGTGAGGTACGTTGCATTTCTTACCGCAACATCGGAGTTGCAAGAGGGTCGTAGGACCTCGGAACCAAATACAAAAGGGGTTCGGTTAGTTGCGAGTTCGCGAGTCGATGTGAACACAATGCTTTCCCAACCTGATGATGGACGCTTGTGTTGCGCCCGAAACGTCGTGATTTATTTTATACCTGCGTGACTTTACCGGAAAAAAACAAAAAAAACAGAGGTTTTTTTAAGATATGTATCTCTCTCATGGGTGCTGATTCGTAAATTGCGATTTGTTCGTAAGTAGTCTATGACCGGTGAGATGTTGTCTACCTCGCCTGGTTTCCGAGAGGTCGCGCGTTCGATACAAACCCTGACCCGTCGCGATTTTCCCCATCCACATTTAAAATGAAACATGCGTATTTGACAAACGATCAGCCACTTTGTTGAGCTATCGCTTGTGGCCAGCTCGCTTCTGAAAAAAATAGCTATGCAGTATAGGGCTTTACCTGGTAAAATGTAAAAAAAATGTGTTTCGTTTATAGTTGAGATGCTTTTTAAAAGCCAAATGGCATCGTTTTGTTATTGTATGTTTGCGATATATCAGTTGCTTTGCCTTAGAATCCTACACACAATATCCGTGCGCATTTTTGACTGCCACACAAAGCAAATGTGCGTGCCGACAGCTGTGTTGATGTCGTGATTTGTGTTCCCAGAACTCATACCAAAGCGGTGCCCTCCATGATGCCGGACAACGTGGACGATGAGTCTGTGATCATAATCGGCGATGTTGATGATTTTAACCAAAGCAGCGACAACTTGTCCATACCGTGTGAGTTGCAGTGTGTGACTATAAACGATGCCATCCGTGTAATGGGATGTGTCTTGGGCACTTGCAGGATTTTATGATCGCTCTGGTTGCCGCATGATCATGTTTCACGATGCGATGTAATATAAAAGTTTTATATATAAAATGCCTATGAATGTTAACGTTCGCAAGAACTGAAGTAATATTTTATTATTTATTAAGTGTCGGGTTTTTTTTCTTTTCTGCATTTTATATACAAATAGACAACTTAGAAGTTAGCAAACTGCAGTGAACGCAACATAAGCTTGCCATAGGTATATTAATCATTACAGTTGACATATCACTTATAGTGAACATGCTACACAGGACATGATTATATAATACATACAGTAACACCCCAATGTATGCCCTTTCACTTTACGTACTTTAGCTGAAACGTACTGAACGTCTCAATGACTGTCTGGCGGAATATGCTGTTCAAAACTAACGTTAGACTTCGAATTTATTTTTATTGCCGATTTTCAGCTGAATTTTAAGTCAAAGGGGACATTAATTGCACCCCCAATGTAAATTGATTAAAAGCTCGGTTTAACACGTAGGCTTTAGACCAATATTATCCATAATAGAGGGGTTTTTTTTGATAGAGCACGGAATATAAACGTGTCGTTGAATCCGCGACCACCCGTCACAGCCAATTAGTAACTTGTTCAGCACACTGGTGTGTTGGAGAGTAAACTTGAATTGTGAATGTTGTGGATTTACTCTCCAACACACCATTGTGCTGAACGAATTGGAACGTGGCAAATCTTACTAAATGGCTGTCGGGTAGTAGTGGGTTTAACGACACATTTACGCGATCTAACCCAAAACAAACCTCTTATGGATGATTCAAATATCCTACCCATGCCTTTTAAACAATGGAATATTAAGCACAGTGCACTTTTAACACAGGTAATCAATGTCATAGCAATGACAAGCCGCCAATAATTTCAACTATTGCTTAAGTTTCGTGAAATTTACTGTTTTTTCTTGGTCTTCACATGTCTACAGCAACTGATGCAGACAAGAGCATCATTGTCACCTACAGCAAGAAGGCTGAAGTCTTGCCTCATGCCCGCTGCGACTGCACATCCAATATTTTTAGGTGCTCTACATACACTTTAATCCATTTGTCTGAGTAACTCAAAATAAATAATAATTCGCGTCATTTGTGGCGAATATAAATTAAAACAAATTAAAATAGGCAGACAATTGATATTTCCAATATGTTGTCTCCATGTAAAAAAGTGAAGGCATATCTTACATAACCGATCAGCTGCAAAGCCTTCTATGAATACTTTGTTTTAAGACCAGCACACTAGACCAGTTTCAACTGTTTCATCAGCTTGCATGGAGCAATGCTGGTAAACTGCTGATCATATTGGCAAGGACCCGTCCCCTTACAATATGGGGGTCCCAGTTAGATGCAAAAAAGTACTTATACAAAACTTAACTTAAAAAAAAAACATTCGTGTCATTGTGGAGAATATAAATTAAATAAAAAAAGCAGACTGTCTTTTTTTGCATATCCAGCTCTCAACATAAAAAAATGTCTGACAACCCATCAGCCGCACGGCCTTATGGGAGTGCATCATTTTAACAGCAAGAGCTGAATCGGACTTAAAACAATTAGATTTGAAAAAATATTGGTGCATGGAAAAAGATTTGTGTTTATCACGATTGTACCGGTGAAAAATTATGGGGAAATATTTTTTTTCTCTGAAATGCTGAACAATTATAGAACATTATTTTTGTAATAATAGGGTTTTTCCCCTTTTTTCTGGCAACAAAACTGGAACCTTCTTTGCGAGTACCTATTATATGTTGGTTCTGGCAAAGGAGGTCTAATGATGTAGATGCTCACCCCGAGCCCTCATTACTTTGATAGTGCATTGTCTTTGAGCTGCACGCCTTTTGGCGTCATCTGGTCGAGCACCAATTGGGTCGAGGCTCAAAAGAAAGCCGTCCCTTGGTGTGGACCAATCAGTTTCAAGGACAATGCATATATTATCATAGTATGTTTTTGTTTGCATTTTGACTGCAGGTATTGTGGTTAATGCAGACATGAATCCTTGTAAGAAGGTTTCAGTTTTGTTGCCAGAAAAAAGGGGAAAAACCCTATTATATTTTGGTACTGGCAAAGGAGGTCTAATGATGTATTTTTGTATTTGCAGTCCTGCAGAAAATGAACGTTCTTGTCCATTGAACATCAACAGTGCATTCTGTGAACAGTGTTACTGCTACGTTTGTGATGGCCTGGCTTCACAGGTATTTGGGCGTGCATTTGCTGTGCCTGCACTAACATAAACGATGAAATGTTTTACCTGCAAAATTGTATTAGCCATTTGTATCACCAGTCCACGTTGGTGCACAGGTTGTGAAATTTATGATTACAAATTTGCCCTCCTTTTTTTTAAGTGCAAGTATTGGACAACACTTGGAATATTCCACTGCAATGCACACAACAAGAGCAGTTTCTGGAAGGAAGCACGGAATCTGGCTTCTAATGGCACCCTTGCAATGTTCCACCTCAACGCCAAGCTGATTGATGCTGACATAAGAGATGCAGGTTTGTACTTGTAATACATCTAGGTAACGCTTTACGGAACATTTTACCACTTCCCCAATTTGTGTTTTACCAAACTTTACGCACACTCGTTTTGCCACTGAACTTTTACTGCATTTTAACATATGAAATGGGGCTGCCGCCTTGACTTGAGATTAGTGCAGCAGTTCTCTACCTGTCGATCATACCCCTGGGTGCACTGGCGGAGCCAGTGGGGGTGGGGGGGGGGGGCACGTGCCCCCCCCAATGACCCGATCGAAATCCCGAATTTCGATCAGATCAATGGACTTTATTAGTAATAAATCGGCATTTTGTGACCCCTATTGCCACTGTGTAGCATATTATTATGTGCCAGGGACTCTATGAGATGATAGGACAATAGTCCGAGTCCATAATTGGCAATAAGTAGCGGCAAAGCAGTTATAAGTGACTCGCAGAATTGTGCGCAGTTGCGTATACAGTACACGACTTCCCTGAAGGTGGAATACCTTCAGCGAGCGCGATGACGATCACACAACGCGGTTCAAATTCGACCCTCGATCAATGGCTGCGCCATCGCCGCACACGCGTCGAATAAAAATCAAGGGACAAGTCCTTACTAACAACTCCAATCATTTTTCATTGCTGAAGGGGTTGCCCCCCCCCCTACCTGGAAATCCTGGCTCAGCCATTGCCTGGGTGGCATTAAATTCTTTAAGGGGGAGGGGCATGTTGCAATATGGTTACTGTGCAATTGGGAGTAGTTTTACAATTATTATCGACGTTTAATTGAGCATTCACTTAAAATGTTCAATACAGTATTATAATTGAAGTCTCAATACAAAGGACGCTTTGGTAGGGTAATTTTTTTTAATTTTTTCACGACTGGTAATCAAATTTTCAACAATGCTCTTTGTTTTTTTTCGGTAAAGTCGCGTAGCTAAAAAATAAATACAATTAATTAAGCTAAATTAAATCACAAACGCTACATTGTCCCCACCTGAAGAAGGATGCTTCTGTTGCGCCCGAAACGTCGATTTAATTTAGTTTTCATTTATTTTTTACCTAGCTGACTTTACCGCAAAAACCAAAGAGTGAATCCTTGCAGTCACGAAAGCTTCAAATCTAGAATTCAACAATGCCCATCCTATGCGATACGTGGTTACACACAATCTTTAGAATCTGTCACTTGATTCAGTCAGATCAGTTCAGATGAAGTAGCCCAATGCATTTCGTTAAAATAAAATAATTCTAATGAACACATTTCCATATTTGATGCATTTGCAATAACACGAACATAGTGTATTGCTTTTGATATTTTAAATACTCTGTTGCCTGTTTATGACATACTAGCCTTTTTCCCGTCCAAGGACGGGTGTATTGCAGTAAATCTGAAACTTGCAAGCGAAAAGCAGACCGCGACGTGATATTCATCGCATCCATTCGTGTGCAATTTGTAAGGCTGCGGTGACGGACATTTCATTTAAAGGTTATAATTCCTTGTTCATTATGACGTCCTTTTTACCTCTATGTCTCAATAGCGTTACGGAGATCGCGTGACGTGAGGGTTCTGCCTTTGTAGTGAGGATTATAAGTTGATGCTGAGAAGGGGGGAGGAGGCGCCTCTGCCCCCCATGTGACGTCACCCGCTAATTATTATTAATGGAGGGGCAGGTCCATGTGGAGGACGTAACCTGTTCATGATTATTAATGATGGGGCTTGGCACAGTAGGACTCGTAGCTAGAAATCATTTTTTTCCCCTTTTGAAAAGGGGATTTGGTTATGTTGGTACCGAGTTGGATTATTGTTACTGATCTGTGAGGGATACGTCTGGTGCATGCAGGAAAGCTACTGGAGACGTTCCTCATGACCTTGAAGCCTTTGTATTACCAGTACTTTATCGGTACACAAGAGCCAGGAAATGCATGTCCCTGCACTTGCCACGCTTGCGAAGCCAGCAATCTTCCCGTATCATCCTGCCAATTCTGCAATTTGCACCACTTCACTGTCAAGGAGCATTTGTAAGATAATACACATTTTAAAAAATATGATTTAATGAGTTTAACCTTTGTAAAATTTAAAAGAGCATATGTATAACACTGCTAAAATATATTTTTGGAATATGCCTGTACAGCTGGTTCTGAATTAATTTTAACCAGCATCCTCATCAGATGTATTATATTCTCCCCATACTTTTAAAATGTCTCATGATTCTGTGATATTACAATCCATCTCACTCCTACATATAAACTAATAAAATCGCACCTTGGATTAGCATGGTTGACTACGTACAGGGCGAAATAACTTCAACATACATCACTCCATGGCTGTTGCCATTTGAGGTGCATTCTACTCCCATTACTATTTTTGTCAAGCATACATCATCCTTTTTAGCAATATCATACTTATTCTTGGTTCTTTCGGTAAAGTCACGTAGAAGGGAAACAATAAAATAATAAATATATTAAAAATTTAACATTCTCACGACGTTTCGACTGCAACACATGCAATCATCATCAGGTGTGAAAACCACAGCAAGAAAATTTGAAAAAAGTGGCGGTTATTTTATTGTTTCCCTTCTACGTGACTACCGAATGAACCAAGAATATGAATCCCTGCAGTCACGAAAGCTTTAAATTAAAATTTAATATCATACCTGTTAACCCCTTATCAGTGCCTGTCTTATTCCAGACCAATTCGGACCTTATTGGTCACCACGTGCCCTTATAAATCTCAACGTTCATCCTACCAAGTCCCCATCACGAGAGAAACCCCCAAAAAATAGACAAAATTTGTTTTTACTCGCGTTCCCGTACAAGAATACGGGTAAACTGTATGGGTTGACAGGTATGCAATATGGTCCTATCTACTTTTATTAATAATCGGTATGACGTCTGACTTGCATTTGTTACAATATCTGTGCCATTAAACATTGGTATAATTAAGTCGTTTTAACAGAACTAGAAGTCTGAATGTTTATCTAGGAATAGTTGACCTATATTCTGATTAGTTTTACATTTAATTTAATATTTATCTCTTACATACTTAAATATAATTCTAATTGTTTCGTTTCAAACAATAATAAAAAATGGCAAAATTGATAACACCTTCAGAAAGTAAATTTAATTTTAGAAATCTGTTTGTCCAGGAACAGTTAACCTAATTTCTAATGTATTTTACATAATGTGTTTTATATTTAGCTTTAAAAGCACGCATACAACATTTATTTTCGTTCTATAGATCTTCCATGCAAAAGCAATATGAATATTGTCTCTTACATGCTTAAATCTAATGCTAATTGTACATTTTATTAGAAAACAATATAATAAATGCAAAATAGATAACACCCTTAAAAATGTAACTATTTAATAAACATATTTCATATTCATGTTTTAGTATAATGCAATTGTAGATGAGGAATGTCCTTAAGTAGGTTTTTGTTTGGAAGTGTACATGTACAGCCTCTTTATCAATCCACTGCTGGATGAGGGCCTCCCCCCGCTTAATGTGGGCCAAGGAGCATTTTTTTTTTACCATACTTAGCCATGCTGGTCAGTGTGCGTTGGCGAAGGTAGGGAGCAAAGACGTGGAAACACACCAGTGATTTATGTTGCCTCACAACCGAGCCCCCCACAGCCCAATGACAATCTGACAATCTGTTTTGTGCATATCAAAACTCAAACCCGGCTTACCTTATGACATCTGATGAGATTAGGTGCATTCCGGGTGACTTGGTTGTATCGGCTTGTCATATGTATGCATTAATATATTTGTCAAAATGTCTTGTTATCTGGCTGTAGTTACCAGCCTGTGTTTTCTGCAGTGCAGTCCTTCCTCAACGTCTTGGGTTCTCTCGGCCCCAGCGGGCAGCTGGTGGCCATGCTGGGGGTCGCAAAAGAGATCATGCTGCACGAGGAAATGCCTACGTATGTAGCCTTGCTGCAGTCATGGACATTAACGTCTTATAAAGTTTTCCAGCATGGAATAGATTACCCCCTCACAATTTAATAAATTGTCAAAGTGCGATTAAAGAATACAATTTTTTTAAACATTGTAATGAATGTAACTCTTCCTATGGCTGCAGAATTTAAATAATGCAATTGCATGCAGCATTCAAATGGGATATAAGTGATCCTTAACCCGATTTGATGCATGCACCTTGAGCATGAGAGTACATTTTTATAAATTAATCCATTGTTGCCTGCAAAGTGATGGAATATTAAATCCAGCTCTTAAAGGATAGGTTCACGAGTTAACACTTACTATTATTTCTGACTTTTCAATACTTTGGCTGCAATAAATGTATCGTAACCTAATGTTCTCTACATATAAGATTATAAAATATATATTTTGTTAAGTATCAGGGATGTGGATTATCTCTTAATTGTCCCAAACCTTATGAGTTGCTCATTAATATTAATGGTTTAATATGCTGGATAAAAAAGTGTGCTGCAAAATTACTTGGAATAAATCATTTAGTGGTATCAATAATGAATAATATGGTTTGGTTGTAAATTCCAATCAATTGGTTTTGTATAATTTTGCACAATTGTCTGTTTAATTGTAAAATGGGTGACTTTCAACAATGTTTCGTCACTGGGAATGCGCTCTTGAAAAAAACCAAGGAAGCCACATGCGTCCCATCAAGTTGCTCAGTCTGTGACTAAAAAAATAAGAAATGGCACATTTGTCTAATTACATTTCCCTAAAGAGGAAAAATGTAATGTGTAATCGGTGACAATTTAAGCAAAAATCATTTCAGTTCTGTTAAAACGTGAGCTATTTTATGTGTTGGTGCTCTACATGTGTACATCGGTAGCATTTGCAATGATGTATTTAATTTTACACACAATTTAAAATAATCAATGGCATTGTTGTTGCTCTAGGACTTCCTCTGTTATGGGGTCAAGATGGACAAACCTGTTAAAACCAGCTGTCGTGCACTTGATGGAACTGTAAGTTTGATCATTTGTTTTCATTTTAATGTCTACTTAACATAACTGGGGCCTTCACCAACACACACTGACCAGCAGTGAATTATAATCGAATAACCCCCACGACCTGTACGGTGTGCATAGGCCCTCTTCCTTCAGTATTTTCACCAGTGCTATGCAATTACATAATTCAATAAGTATATATTAAATTAACAAATTCGTGGGGTATATAATAATATTGTGTCTGACATACCTAAAAGAAGTATTAATTTGAAATGGTTGTCTTACATGAGATGCATAATAGTGATATGGACGTCGTTTGTGTTTTGTGCTGTTATTTTACATACATTCAATAAGTCTGGCTTAATACAGTTTAAATATTTGCTTTTGGCTATTTGCTTTAACTTGATGCAGGCTTTATTATTTTATAATACTGTATAATAAACAAAGTCACCTTAAATGTTTCAAGTGTTTCCCTTGGAATAAAAATTTACATCGATAACGTACCCATATATGCAATAAGCCCAATGTTTAAAATTGATAAACTGTTTAAACAAATATTTACAAGAGAGATGAATCGGCTCAATGAAATGCTTGTTCTTTTGGAATTATATTGTCTGAACAGAGGTGAAATTTATTTTAAAGATGAATGCCTATTAACATATTTTGTCCGTAAACATATTTCATCCACTGACTTGATTGTTTCATGTACCGACGGTGAACTAGGAAATATTTTTATATATTATACCTACATTTTTCCTCAGGGCATTTATTCAAAATGACAAATTAGCTTAATAAAGTATTATCTGCACTAGAGCTCTGCATTGTAACAATTGTAATATTGTTAAATAGGATCCAGTCAAAGGCCCGCATAATACAGGTTGAGCATAAGCTGCCACCTGCGTTACTTAAAGGGCTGAAGAGCTTCTTCTCTGGCCTGTTCTTCCCAAGCCACTGCATTTGCTTTTTAAAGAGGTGAGAAGGGTCAGCGCTGCAATGAGACACACACTGATCTCAGTCAAACATGGCAAACAATAACTGTTAGCACCATGGCAGATACAACCCATTTTTATCATTCTAAATGTGTCAACCTGCCCAGTAGCTCGACATACCCATTTGCAGTCAGCTATAATATGAACAAAAGTGTATTTTTCCTTAAAATATATCATTCAGAGGTGACCTGATGCCTGAGATGGCTGAGACTGTCAGAGGCACTGCTCATGCACTGCTAGAATAATGGGTTAGAATCTTGACAACCATTTGTAATTAAACTGGTTTTATTTTCTCAACCAAGTTTTCACTTAATATGGATCACATTTCTATTTTGATTGAAATGTAAACAATGCCTTTACAGCAGAGCATGGAAAAAGTTCAGGGAAAAGGTTCAGATAAAGACGCACGTTCAGAGATTGAGGGTTTTCAGTTTTTGTTATATGACCTCAGTGGCTATTCTGATAAAAAAAAAAAACATTCTGGAGGAATTCTAAAGTTAAAATTGTATTCTTATGACATGACACCAATTTATAACGAGCCAAACTACTTTGATATCTCACCTGAAACTATTCTACCAGTGTGATCCAACGGTATGTCATTTTGGATTTTTTTTTTGCTGGTCTGGTTGGGAGAATTCACATTTTGACTTGAATGGCTTTGATCCCTTTATCCATAAGCGTGCATAAGCAATATAATCTGTCTCGATTTCCATGTCAAGTTTCATGGGTTTTCTGTTTTACCAAGTGAGAACTTGGCAAAACAGGATAGTTTTTTGCAACAAGTTATACGAGTCCCCAAAACGACAAGCAATACAAATAGAACAAGTATTACAAATTAATACAAATCGTACCAAATACCACGTTATGGGAGAAAAAAAGATTGCACGAACATAAATTGATATTACATTTAATACATATCCTGTATAGAAAATGGCTTGGTTAAATTACTTTTACAAACCGTTGATAGAACATTTAAGTTACAGAAACATTAAGATGTATTTAGGGGGATTATTGCACTAAAATGTAAACACACATGTGAAATACAATTGTATGCAGAGTCGACAGTTGAGTTAAAATTGTTATTTAATGTTATTGAAGCAATGGAATGATGGGTGGTCAAACCATGTGTATAGTATTGTTCTGAGTACAATGCACTTTACCTTAAATTGGTAAGAGACTAAATTTTGATTTAAAGCTTTCGTGACTGCAGGGATTCATATTCTTCGTTCTTTCGGTAAAGTCACGTAGAAGGGAAACAATAAAATAATACAAATATAAAAAACAAACAATATTGTTTTTGTTGTGGACTCACTAAATGTAATATAATTGGAGGGAACCAATGTTCCCAACGTGCTAATAAAAGAGTACAAGAAAAGGTCGCTGTCTTAGGCACAACCGCGTTCAATAAATAATAGATCTTATGGGAAAAATAGGGTTACCATACCTGGGTCTGAAATGATCATTCCGTCTGTTTAACTGATTTTACATTATTTCCCCCCCCCCTTTGTTATTGCAATCAAGGGTGCCAAGTCACTCCATTTCTTGTGTGTACACTTTCATACTCTTTGGTTCTTTCGGTAAAGTCACGTAGGTAGAAAATTAATAGATCACGACGTTTCGATCGCAACACAAGCAATCGTCATCAGGTGGGACAACCACAGCATATATCATTTCTCTCTTTTAATTTCGCGAGTTCAGAGCGTTCATCTTTGCTGATGTGCTAAGAAACCCGTTAGCAACATCAGCAAAGATGAACGCTCTGAACTCGCGAAAGTAAAAGAGAGAAATTATATAGTCATCCTCTCAGCCGACAAGGGCAATCCCACTGTAATTATGGATAAAAACTCATACAACAATAAAATTCAGGACCTACTCAATGATGGGAGTTACTCTACTACTAACAACCTAACGATTAAAACCAACATGATCATCACAAATTCGACCTCCCTAATGGAATCAACCAAACGTCCCTCCCTAAAACCCTCCGCTGCGAGACCTCCTAGATTCTATGGTCTTCCCAAGATCCATAAATAAGGTACCCCACTACGACCTATCGTGTCCACGATCAATTCCCCTACCTACAAACTGGCCTGTTTTCTGTCAGATACTCTGCTTCCTTTTACTGGCAAGACCTCGTCAGCAGTACTTAACTCATCCCAATTGGTCTCTATGGTCAAAGACATTGTACTGGCCCCTGACTATGTCCTCGTCAGCTTTGATGTGATTTCTCTGGTCACCAAGGTCCCAATACCTGACACCATTAAAATAATTGAGGATCTGGTCCAACATGGACTAAACCCCGAGGTACCTACACTGGTTAGGCACTGCCTCACCAACACCTACTTTACTTGGAATGGTATCTTTTACAAGCAAAATGAGGGTACTCCCATGGGTTCCCCCTTGTCACCAGTGATAGCCAATGTTTTCATGAAGAAATCTGAATCGGACACCATCCAGACATCCACCCTCAATCCTTCCCTGTGGAAGAGATATGTGGATGACACTTTCGTCATTTGGCCACATGGCCTCCCAGCTTTGAACCTTTTCCTGGACCACATCAATTCCAGACGCCCTTCCATCAAATTCACCATGGAAGTAGAGAAAGATGGCAAACTGCCATTCTTGGATGTTCTGTTTGAGAGGTCGTCTGATGGCTCGTTGGGACATTGTTTACAGAAAGCCCACCCACACAGATTCCTACTTGAAACCGGATTCCCACCACCACCCGGCTCAAAAGAATCTCTCATCAAAACTTTATACCATAGGGCTCATTGCATTTCGGACCAACAACACTTGACCAGTGAATTAAAATTGGTACGGCTGGCCCTTAAGAGGAACGGATACTCTGACCGTACCATCAGCCAAGCTGTTTCTCCTACCATACAGAAACAACCACTTGATACTCTGATCAAAACCATCACACTACCATACATAGCAGGCGTTACTAAAAAGATGTCCAAAATTCTAAACAAACACAAGATCCAAGTCCAGTTCAATACAGTACACAAAATTCGTGATCTGATCCCATCCGTAAAGGATGTCATCCCTGACTTACAGTACCCCGGAGTTTACAAATTGAGTTGTACCTGCGGTGATTGCTATATCAGGGAGACGAAACGACATATCTCTGACCGAATTCGTGAGCACAAATCAGATCTGAAACACGGCAGAACGAATTCAACAGCTGTAGCTGATCATTGTTACAACGCTATGGGTGATCATGAGATTGTCTTCTCCGATACCAAGGTATTCTGTAAACCTACAGGTTGTCACCAGAGATTTGTCCACGAAGCCATTCAGATACACAAACACAGGCATAACTTCAATTGAGAGGATGGTTTCAAATTAAGCAACCATTGGAAAAACGTTTTAAATCATGCCAATCGTCAACTAATTTCTAACAGCAATTTCAAGTAGTGGTATACCAATCATATTCCTTCCGAACTTTCTAATAAACCCTTTTTTGCTACTCCCCCCTTACAGCACATTCTTGCCGACCTTTAATTTTTTCTATTTTCCGTTTCTATTGCACACACAGTTACCCATCACCCTCTACACAACAAAAGACGGATTAACTCAGCCCCGCACCCCACCAAGGTCCCCTACATGGCTCCTCCCACCCCCCCCCCTTAACCTGCATTGAAGCGTTTGTATTTCCCCTGTTTTCTACTCCCCCCGTTACACCACATTCTTGCCGATCTTTAATAATTTTTTGATTTTTTCGTTTCTATTGCATACACAGTGACCCACCCCCCGCACCCTCTCCACAACAAAAGCATGCTAATCCCCCAGTTACATGCTAGTTTTCTGACTTTAACACCCTGCTGCTTCAACACTTTAACACAACTATTTCAATGCTAATTTATCCTGTTTGATATGTAAACTCCTTTGTCAAGGCGCTCTGCTCCTCCCACCGAGCTTAAAAGACGCTGCGAATCTTAGCAGCGTTTATTGAAGCGCTGTCGTCCCGACAGTTTTGTTCCTTCACCTGAAGAAGGCCGAAACGTCGTGTTTTATTTTTTTATTTTAATTTGTTTTTTACCTACGTGACTTTGCCGAATAAAACCAAAAAATATATTTTCAATAATCTTATCACTATCAGACTACGTATAGCCAAAACATCACCCCCATGTTCTGGAAAACAGACCTCATTAAGTAGCCAAAACACGCGTTCAATTAAACCACATTCAGCGTGGTTTTTCCTGTTTCATTAACTCACTGTTTTACACGGAGTGACTTTGGGACAGTGTATTTTTGAGATTGTAATAGTTGATTGGGGTGGCACACGCTGTGCTATGACCTTGGTAACCAGAATTTGATTCCCAGTCATGGCTAACATCTAAAACTTTCCAGGATCCCCAACATTGCCACCTCAGAATCAGAATGTTTATTTTCTTGGAGGAATCCGATAAGCTTTAAAGCTTTTTTAAAACAAATATTCAGTCGGGGTGGGTCAGAACATTACAACAAAGAAACAATATAAAAACACGATAGGAATGCAAGTATAGGGAAGGTAAACAATTTACTTTAAAAAAGTATACAAATACAACGTTTTTTTTTTATCTTGCCAGGTAAAGCCCACTGAGCTATTAGCTTGTTTTTCAGAAGCATCCTGGCCACAAATGAGCACTCAGGAAAGTGGCTTATCATGTGCAAATCTATAGCAGCAAATTAATATAAATCGTCTAAATGCACATTTTAACCTACACTGACTAGCATGGTGAAGTATGTTCAAACAATCCCCACAGATGGGAGGGGAAGGCTCTCAGGCAGTGGATTGATGGCTCCAAGTTTTAATAGTTGATATAGTAAGCCAAGTCAATATATTTTTGCTTAACGTGTGGTGCCTTTTTGGCAAAAATCTGCCACCCAAAGCGCCATCACACCTATAAACATAAACAATATTATCCTGTTTATAGCTGTTCATAACTAAACTTCGATTGATAAATTATTATACGAGTTGACAAGTAAGGCAGTATGCTGACATTGCTTATTTTATCTATTTTATGTAATGTGCACATTTGTTAATTGCATGTGTCTTGATTTGTGGCATAGAATTTTGACTCTCTTTCGCTTGCCAGCATGTTTATCATTGGCTGGGATGAGCCCATGCTCTCGTCTGTGATGAGGGGACAGAACATATCTGGCATATTCCGCATAAAAGGAAAGCGGAAACTCCTACATGAAAACTTTGACGTGGTGATGGCTCGCAAAAATAAGCTGGTGCAGGAAGAAAAGTAAGTCGTTTTTGTTTCACTCGAATCCACACTATTGTAATTGCGTTTAATTGAGGCTGTTGAAAAACGAAGTATTAAGTGTTGATTTAAAGCTTTCGTGACTAAGAATATGTATTAAGTTTGAAGGCTGGTTGAATTAAATTTGGGGCAGTAGGAAAAAACGCTGGCATGACCTGCACAAAGCACTTGGGATGACCTCTGCACCTGTTTATCTGAAGTAAACCTTAACCACAACAAACACGTTAAAATATAAAGTAAATGCCTGTGTATATTACATGCTATTTAATGACAATTGTAAACAGTCAATTCATATATTTGTAATTGTAAACAGTCAATTTATATATTTGTAATGCTTAAAATATGCTAATCCACATAATTTCCCAAAGAGTGAAAGCTTGTGAGTTGACGATGCACAATAAATACCCAGGGGCATAGCCAGTGAATGTGGGTGCAGTATTGATTATGCTACCTTCATCCATGAGACTAATGTTAATTTGAACATTTTGGGTCACATTCTTGATGGGGTCCCGTGCAGCCTGGTTCTTCATTGAATAGTCACTTCATTAAAATGGCTACTCAGCGACTTTAATAAAATAAAAGTGAGTTTTTTCAATGATGTGAAATGCGGCAAATTTAATTTACTGGTGTATACTCATCTATGTTTTTAACTTGGGTGAAATGTTATAATGTTTATACTTTGTGCTTTCGGTTTCTTTAATTTCTCTTGCATCAAAAAAATAATTATTATTTTTAAGGTTAAATGTTTTGTGTGATATTTTTAGAGAGCTAACTGCCTTTTTGATCCTGTGCCCAGGTATCAGGAACTAATTAGATACCTCAAGGTTGTGTCTACGGACAACAGAAATGGGTAAGGGAATGCATTGAACAATAATTGCTATAAACATTCTAAGGTTCAATGTGTTTATACATTCTGTTCGTTTGTCTCAGGGCGTCACAATAACGTTTATAAACATGATCTACTGTGCATTTTCATTAAGTGTTGATATTACATTCATGCTCTATACAAGACCAGTCAAATTGTTCCAAAAAAGGGACACAAAGCGAAACTTCTTGAGACGGCTGCCTCCCAGTAGAGCATATTGTACAATAATGCCTTTTTCTGGCGCTACCTGCCTAGATTGAAACTTCCTATATTGAATAACTTATAATAGTTGTACTATGAGGATGCATTTCCAAACTTCGTAACTTACCATTTCACACTAAACACTGCATAACTTTCCATACATATTATAAACAGATAATATGTAAATGTAATATATATGACAAATCAAAGAAACGGTGTACTATATAGGCGTGTCTCCCTTATTGACCACTCTTTCTACGAGAAGTCGCCATCACGAGCAATTTCATTTTAGACTCATTTGTTCGCAAAATGTTCGCTTATCGAACAATGTGGCCGTGTGGGGAGAGGGCTCGTGGTGGCCACTAATGGGTGGGTGGCAGGACGAGTGGGTGGCAGAAGGGGGTGGATAGTTGAGTGGGGAGTGGTGGTTTAACGGTTAGCGCGTGGCACTATGAATAATGTTTTCTACAAGCATGGTGCAATTTAAATACATAACCTGCTTATAGGTCATTTTTGGTTAAATGTATTTGATAAGTCCATGAATTTTATTTTGAACTCGAGTAGTTTTTATGTCATTGCTTGCCAACTAACTGGAATTACATGTTTTAACAGTTAATAAAAACAGTTTTAATTGACGAGCATTTATACTTGTTGGAGTAACTGGACTAAAGTAAAATTTGTTTAAAGGGGGAAAATGTTATTACAGTGAAACATTGGATTGCGAGCATAATTCGTTCTGGAAACGTGCTCGTAATCCAAAGCACTCGTATATCAAAGCGAATTTCCCCATAAGAAATAATGGAAACTCAGATGATTTGTTCCACAACTCAAAAATATTGTATTCATATAAAAATGATTAATACAAAATACCTTTTTATATTTTCATTTAAATTTAATGTAAAGTAATCAAATTTATTCATTACATTTAATAGTGGCTGGTGTGAGGGAGACGGGAGAGCGGAGAGGGGGGTTATTGTGTAGGACGACTTTCACTTGCAGTACAGTTCCAAATGAACAGTCACGACACTTGGACACAAAATAAAAAAAATGGTTTACGCACACACACGTGGTCACAACACTATACTGTAGTAAACAGTATACGCTCGCACGGATGTTGACCATATGAGTGAGGCACGCCGACTGAGACCGAGCATAGGAGATGATTATCCACAATCCCGCAGAGAGAGAAGAACCATTGGCTCAGTTGTGATCACGTGACGCTCGGCAGACAAAGCGTATACTGTACGTACTGCTCGTATTGCAAGACATCGCTCGTTTATCAAATTATTCATTTTAAAAATTTGCTCGTCTTGCAAAACACTCGCAGACCAAGTTACTCACAATCCAAGGTTTCACTGTACTGTGTTAAGTGACCATGCGTGGGTGTACAAATGGATATATCTTTCTTATTTGCTTAACTCATCTCCTTGTACCCTCTGTCTGTGGTGCAGATTGCAGAAGCTAAGGTCTGAGATCCCAGTGTACCTTTGCAAAATGAACAAGTTGTTTGATGCCTTGCGGTGGATGGCATCATCCCCAATGTGCACCAGCAGTCTTCCTCCCACTGTCATCAAGACAATGATCGTTAATGCCTCCGAACTCATCCATGACACAGCGGCTCCAGGTACCCTTTGTTAATGTTTGCTCCTTTGCACAATTGTGTCGTTTCTGCATTAGCCCAGTTGCTATCACAAGTGCAGCCATGAGCACACTGGGCTAGCAATCCAGAAGTCGCTGGTTCAGTCTTCAAGCTCGAACATAAAAATAACGGGGCAGGGTTTTATTATTGCGGTTTTGTGTCTGCGACGAATTAATTTGGAGTGCAATTTGAAATTCACGGGGTTGTATTTGTAATGTTTGCAGCCGTAGCACATTTGGCGCAGATTGTAAAACCGCGACAGATCCCCACACGCACCTCTCCCTCATTCTGTCTTCGTCTGCCACTGATTACACTCGAGTGCTTTCCTTTACAGTTTTTTTGGACTTGCGTACTGTGCAGTATAATATTCCTTATATATTGATATTTGCACTTGACATATATTTACGTTATTATAAAAGGTAAATCTTATAACACAATCGTACAATACGACGGTGGTTTTTGACCTTTTTTGACTACTGTACCCATTGTTGAATTCGTTTCTACCGACTACCCCTTGCATGACCCAACATGGTTCTGAGAAATAAATGTATGAATAATGAACGTCAGTATTTTAACCAATTATCCATTTTGCGAGGCATCCTAACTAGCTATCAACTGCAAGTGAATAAACAAATGCAATGGATGCTCTGCATGCACGACGTAATTTGCTCGCACTTGCTGGTTACTCTTGGAAACCCAAATTGTTTATGATCAATCAGTCTAGAAAGGTCTTTTATATCATTCTAGGTTACCATATGGATTAATATTTTATCCTCGTTTATCTTGGCGTATTCTTACATAATTATTTGCCAATGATTCTAATCTTACCAATGTAAGTATTTTTTTGTCTGTCTGCGTGTCTGTCTATCTGCGTGGGTACCTTAAGACGTTTTTAACTGACAAACTGTCAGGTTTACATATCAAAAAAGTACACTGATACCACGCCGTATGGCCCGGGACGAAAAAGTTATTTGTATTTCACATCTGTCAAGTTTAAAGTACAGTGGTACTCCGGAGATCGAACTTAATTCGTTCCAGAAGGCCATTCGAACACCGATTTGTTCGAACACGAATTAATTTTCCCCATAAGAATTCATGTAAATTACATTAATTGGTTCCAGACACGAGAAATCTCTCATAAAGCATTTTACACGACGTTTACAGTGATTGCATGCATAAAATCATACAAAAAACAAGAAACATAATAAATAAATATATGGCACAAATTAAATCAATGAACATTGAACTTCACTTTACCTGTAGTAAGGAGAGTTGATGGCTTGAGTGGATGGTGGTGAGGAGGAGGTGGTAAAACCTTTGTCTGGGCAAGCGTCATGCACGCTGGCCATACGCGTCTCAGCCGTACAGGTTCTTTCAAGTCGCGATTTCCAGTTCGACCTCCGAATTTCGTTCGTTTACTGGGGCAAAAAATGTTCGTAAATATCGTTTAACACCGATTTGTTCGAGTTCTGGTGCGATGGATCTCCGAGGTTCTACTGTAGTTAAATTACCAAATGTATTCCCTTTTATAAGCACAGGGTGGCGCCAGAGCACGCATCTGCGCATGTGTAGTGGGTTTGTATGGAGACAGTCTTCTTAGGAGGCAACACATATCCTAAATATAAACACCCAGGTCTGTCATTCTGTCATTGTGACTAACGCGGCACGGATTGGTTGAAGTGCGTCACATGACAGGGACCAAGCAGCCAACCAGAGGTGCGCCCCTCACAAACATGTACGCCCCCGAACAGGCACGTGTGGGATGACGTCCCCGGCGTGCGTGTCATCACGCACGTATGGGCGTTAACGTCAGCTCTCTTTCACAACACCTCAGCCGCGTTTGTGTGTAATGACGTCACGCCTCCAACCACGACAAGCGCACAGCCTGCGGTGGGCCTTCATCCAGCAGTGCATTTGAACACTAAAAAAAGTACAGCACTCATGTACAGTGCTGACTTTTTCCACTATTAATGTCAAATAATATAACAAACACAGTTCTGTGTGTCATTATGTCACTAACGCGTAAACGTGCCAAAAGATTTGTATAGAAGAAACTAGGTTGTTTATAACAGTAATAACGGTAACACCAGGTTCCTAACACGAAGGGGTAATGGCCCCTTCTACCCACAACCTAATGAGGTACAGCCTCCGCGCTAATGTGCCCTAACCACTGGGGCTAACCACTTTTCAGCCTTCCGGCTAGCGGGACCTAGGGGAGGCTGATACGACCCTCGGGTCTCGACCGCTGGCCCACACAGACCCGGCCCTGAGAAGGACGTCGGATCGGGGGATCCTCGGAGTCCTAGCCTATCGACCACTGGCCTCACTGAGCCCCGGCCCTTATAAGGGCAACAGGGCTTTGGTGTCCAGGGTCCTATCTTCAGGTAGGCTTCTGGGTCTTCGGCTTGAGGCGGACTTACTCGAGCTGCTCTGGGGTCTGGCTTTTATGGGGCTCCCAGGGTCACTCCACCCTTGGTCTCGCCCATCTGGAACCTTCTGGAGGGACCTGGATTGTTGTGCAATCCGCCCCAGCCCCCCACCCGGGGGCCTGGGGTGTCCCCCTCCGGTTCCCAACCGTCCCCCCAGGTTGCCTGTCCCACGATTCCTGCTTGGCACAGGCCGGACTCGCTATTGCCCCCTGTTGGCCCCTGACTGGAGGTGCCTGCTCACCCATAGTGGTGGCGGCGTATTACGCCTAACAATTACCCACCACACATGCGCGAGAAAGCCGGGTCCGTGGTGGTTGCCCTAGCAACGCACACACGCGATCGGTGGGGGGGAATTCTCATTTGCGTAAAAAAATATACTGCTGAGGTAATTTTTTTACAGTGTGATGTCCTCTTCTCCCCAATATGTGCACTCATAGTCCGTAGATAATATTATTGTAGGGCAGGGGGGGGATGGTGGGGGGGGGGGTAGCAGCCCAGCCCCAGCCTGGAAAGGTGCCACTTCGGCCGGCTGGACAATCTAGGGGAGGCCGAGGGCTCTGCACGGGACTAGGCCTCACCACCACTCTGTGAAGTTAGTATTATAGAGTTGATATATAGTATTATAGAGTCGTTTTTTATGACTGTAGAGTAGGTACATACTACTGTAGAGTTTGTAGTTACTGCTGCTGTAGAGCGGGCATGGGGAGGAGGGGTATAGCAGCCCCAGCCTGCCAAGGTGCCACCTCGGCCGGCTGGGCAATCTAGGCAAGGCCAGGGGCTCTCCACGGGACTAGGCCTCACCATGGCACTTTGTATACTTACTAGATACTATTATAGAGTCGGTAGATACTACTGCAGAGTCATTAGATACTACTTTAGAGTCAGTATTCACTACTATAGAGTTGGTTGATACTACTATAGAGTCAGTAGATACTATTATAGTCAGAAGTTACTACTATAGAGTTACTACTGTAGTGTTCTTCACGGAGGCAGAAACTTTGACTTGGAGGCAACACGTTTATTACAAGGCCCCAACAGGGCTACTACATAAACGTACACACGCTAATTAGACTCCAACAGGGTAATTACCATATTTTCCCGCATATAACCCGCAGGGTATACCACTTTTTACAAACAAAACAAGACCCTGCGGGGTATATGGAGGTGCGGGCTATCCCAAAAATATTTTACACGTGTGACATGTCATAACTCGTTAAAAAAATTTCATGGTAGGACTATCCACTATGCAACACTTTGACTAAAGCACTGCTGAATAAACCACTCGCACTAAAATTACACGTTATCACGTTTTAAATTAATTGTTTGTACAATTAAATGACAGTTTTTGAAGTGCGTGCACTGTTTACCGGCGACGGGAGAGCTGGGGTGAGAGGTGGGGGTTAGGGGGTGGGGCAGCTGGGGGGAGAAAGAGGTGGGGGTTGAGGGAAGAGAGGTAGGGGGAGAGAGAGGTGGGGGTTGGGGCAACTGGGGGGAGAGAGAGGGTTTGGGGGCGAGGCGACGGCATTACCGTAGTGCTGCTATTATCTGCGCAATGTGCAATCTACCAATGCTAAAACTGTACTTATCTACCAGTTATGTGTTACTTATTCATTGGATATTTACTTTTGTTACTTATTTACTGTTTTAAGTTCACTCGTTTCCGGTTAGTTTGTCTTTGTGCACGTTATGATTTAAATGTTAACAATTGATAGTGGAATGTATTACAAATGTAAACTTCGTATTAATATGATGGAATTAAGCTGCGGTAACGACGTTAAATATATGAATGCATTCGGGGTATATGGAGATGCGGGCTATCTGAAATTAGTTTTACACAAAACGCAGTTTTTACGGGGTATATGCATATGTAGGAAAATACGGTACACAACCGGATCAGTCAGGAACATCCTGACTGACCCACAGTATCACTCTTGTGACAGTGGCTGGTGCTAACACCACAGTGACACCATTAACGTCACTACACTACTATAGTCGGTGGATACTAATGTAGTGAGTTCAACTGAGTCACACACTCAGACTTGGAGGCATCGCATTTATTTAGTTCCAACACACGGGTTAAACCTTCGCCTTAAGACTATAACAACCTAGGGTGGCGACCACCCGGCTAGCTACACTAGTTAACGTAACTGTTAACTACGGACCTGGGACCAACAGCATACTACCCAGGTCCACGTGCTGGAAGACTCTGAGGACGGAGATCGTAGACGAAGGGATTCTTTCCCGGGATGAACAACCTCGATCCCTCTCGGGACTCTGCTTATATTCTTTACGGCGTGGCTGGCTCCGTCCTTGGCCACGTCCCCCTTCCAGAACCATCGGGAAGAACCTGGGACCCAATCACGTGACCCTCCTAGCTCCCTCTTGGGGGCCCCCATGCATCTTAACCGGTCACGTGTCCTCCCGTGACAACCAGAGTGCCATGGCCTCACATGACCTTCCCCTTAGGTCGGCACACACACACCGTGCCCTCTAGGGCTGGCATTGCACTTAGAGCATGGTACTATTCAGCAATGTTACTCCACGCACACCGTGCCCCTCTAGAGCCGGTACTGCACCGACAGCATGGTGACATCCAGCGATGTCACGACACTACTGTAGAGACTACAGTCAGTATGTACTGCTGTTGAGTTGGTATATACGACTATAGAGCAAGTAGATACTGCTATAGAGTCAGCAGATACTACTATAAAGTTATTAGTTACTACTATAAAGTTAATAGTTGCTACTATAGTCAGTTGATACGACTATAGTTATTAGATACTACTGTAGAGTCAGTATATACTACTATAGAGTTGGTTGATACCACTGTAATGTAGCTCTCAGAGACACCGTCTTGTCTTCTGTATATTTATCTTGAATAAAGTCCACTGACAACTCGACAAGTAACTGCGAGTGACTCTACACTTGGGTAGTGAGACAACTCTATTCAGAGACAACATAGTTTCTAGTCTCAAGGCAACTCGCAGACGATGGAGACGACCCGATCCAAGGCGGCGACGACGACAGTTTCCCAAACCAAACAGCCCACAGATCCGGCTCGCGCTGGTTCTTACTCTCGCCCGGTCCGGCCACGCTCTTTTTCCCGAATTCTCCTCGCCGCACCTTTCAACAGTAGATGTCCTTCTGATTTTGCAATCTGTTTTATCCATGGCCTTCACAGCATCCCGGGAGAAGGCATCTTTGTTTCTCAGTCTTGCACTGAGAATATTTTTTCTCAATGAAGATCTCAAAAATGACGTGAGTCATAAAATATACGTAATTTCTCTTCGTGGAACTGTTCAGTCATTTATCAATGCCTGTTCTGGATAGCAATTTAAATTAATACTTTAAAATACAGCTTGACCTGGCACAAACTTGAATATAAATCGTTTATTTCTATTAAAATTTCAATAACTAAGCCTTGTTTCCAGGCATAATACGTTTTTGCATGCTTATTATAGGTGGTATGCATGTTTGGACATCATTGCTGCTGATTACATAAATGCAGTCTTTTTTGAACAAGTTAAACGAAGTATCTTGAGATTCTCAAGCCAAACACATGCTGTTAGCGAGTAAGCTAAAGATCAGCTTTTACATCCAGTGCTGTGAAGTTACACTGCCCCCCCCTCTGCTTACATAAACAGTGGTTTGTAGTATTACTCTTTCCCTTAGCAGGAGTGATGTGAAGCTGTAAATATACACTGCATTACTGAGTTATAATTAAACACTGGCCAATGCAATATGACAGTTTTGTATGGAGAGCTTTGTTTCCCAGTTAAGTATATGACGATCATTAATGTTACCTGTTGAGTGCTTTACTGAAATGTCTCTTTTTTCCCCATACAGATTAACTCCCTGGTAATGCTGGTCAAGTTGCTGTGTACCCCTCCAACCCCAGCGGGTACTAAATGTGCACACATTAAAGCCCTCGGATGTCCACCACCAGAGCTGTTTGAGGCAAGTCCACCTATCCTTGTCAATTCGTGCCCAAGCAAGGTCATGACTGATTGCGGTCACAGTTGCTTCTCACTCATGTAGATTTTGAGTGGTATATGATTTCAGTAGTTTAGAAATGTCCAATCTTCCTTATTTAATGTGCCACTTTGCAATTATCCTGGCTGTTGACACATACCATTAAAAAATTCTACCTGCAGCTGTTGCACAGTCGGCACCCAATCTTCTGGGTCTGCTTCTATAGTTTTCCCCCCATTGGTTGTATGTCTTGTCAGTGTTAGCAATCCTCCAGGTGCGCACCCCAAATCCTTTCTCTTTGTCTCTTTCTCTCTCCTTTACATTATCTTGCATCATGGTTCTACAACTATATTTTCCAGCAAACCACAATAATTTGGCATGTACTGGCAGTACATGTGGTGTCATTAATAAGGTCATGACATCCTAATGTCTACATTGTACCATGAACATGTACCTCCACTCCAGGTTCTTCATCTGTCTCTTATTTATCCTGCTATATCTGTATTCCTTTGTCTTGGTGCGCTATATCTCCCGGCAGTCTACTTCAAAAGTTAAACATCCCTCAATTGTGCAATCTCTGCAGTGCCTTTCATTGTATTTTTTAACCATGTTCACAAATGTGGTAGGGGTTTATGTAGCTGTTTTGTATGACTCCAGTTTGTTTTCCATGGCTTATCACCGATTTAATAATGTACTCAATACCACATTTTGTATACAGTCTGTTCTCCACTAACTCCAAATTATGGAAAAATCGCGTTATAATGTATATAATATAGAGTAAAGCACAGCCCACTATCGCGTGAGATGCTTATGCAGGCTGAACAAAGACAGGCGCATGGGTAGCATCCAGCAGCATCCCGCTTTGTGTGATAGTACGCCAAGGCAATTGTACAACCGCGTATTCCTACTTGGGTGACGTAGTTCTGTTCACTCAATTGCGTAATATCCAATTCGCAATAAGAAAACATGCTTTATAAGAGAACAGACTGTATTTATGTTCTCCTTATTGTGTTGTCATAGTTACATGCAATTGATGCAAGTTTACCGTTTTACACTTAGCATGGTTGCTTCAGTTGTTAAGAAGACCAAGCAGATTTGCTGCAGAATTTTACAAAAGTGTATCGTGCAAAATGGGGAGGTATCCCCAATGTGGTTTGCCCAGAAAATGTTGTATTACTATTTTATTTTGAAAGTCATTGCTGCATTCATGGTTAATCAGCATTATAGGCTCCTTAAATGGTATTTTACAAACGTGAATTGTAATGTGCTGTTGTAAGTTTGATCTGCGATGGCAAGGGCAGTTGGTGAGTGAATTGTTCTGTGTTGTTCTCTCTCCCCATACATGCATGCAGAAGTCCCATGCTATTGTTGAAGACCTGACTAAAGTAAATGGACACATCCCCAACATCCCATGTGACTTCTCATCACTGGTAGAAATTTTACCTTTACTTGTTTCAGATTTTACTGCCCAAAAGTAAATTTTACACCTGAATAGATATTCTGCATTGATATTAATCATGTACATTTGATCCTCATTTGGCAGGCTGGCTGCGTTGTCATTGCTACAAACGTTATTGTCCAGAACTTCTCCTTGCAACTGTTGAGGCCTGAAAACTTTTGGAACCTGTTGCTATCCTATGGGGTATGTTTTTTTCTTCTGGATACTCTTGAGCATATTCATTGAGCCCAAAGCACTGATCATGTTTCTTTTGAATAACCACAAAATCTTATTTTCACCATGCTGTTTTGTTGATGTAATTTTGATAAGATGGCCACAGAATACTTTGTATCTACAAGTTTATCTTGAAAGATTTTTTTTGTATTGCACACTGAGTAGAATCCTGGGTGACCCAGAATATTGAGGTCGAGCAATTACAGCAAAACATCAGCAAAAGTTTAACATCTTTTTAACATTTCAGAAAACAATGTTAGCCATTAAAGGCAGGAAATGCTTGTGATTATATAAAAAAAAATTGCAACTGTATTGATGGTAGAAACATGGGTGACAATCACTCGTCTCATAACTCGTTTTTTGGAGGGCACTGCCAAATGTTTACAGGGGGTGATGAATACTAACGTTAATTTAATTGCATAATTTGCAGATCGTTTTTCATATTTAGACTGCCAGCACACAACGGCCCTGCAGTTGCAAACGACCTCACGGGATCTTTAGCGTCCAGTGTAGAATAGACGGCACAAACTATTGTCATGGTTAATACACCCACAGTATTGATCAGGGTGGCCTCTGAATTCAGACGGTGATCATCTGCAACAAGTTTCAATTGTGCTACCGCTAGGCCATGTCATTAAAATGACATTGTTTGGTGCTTTTGCTCACTTCATTTACAAGGATGTAAATAAATAAGTAAATTGTTCATATTCAATTTAACCATTACGGTAATTGATCTTATCGTTATACCTAGCCTTTGTAGACTGAAACATCATTCAACATGAGTAGAAATTGATGTCGGCCTTGGTTTGTAGTGCTCACAAACCAAGGCCTTAGATAAAAAGCAAGATATATTCTTGGAATTACATTAAGAGACAGAAACACACAGAGTAGAGAACAAGTACTGTTCAATAACATCTAACGGTTAAAAAAGGTAAGCCCCTGGGCAGCACACGTCACTAGAAAGATTGATCGATCAAGAATAATAATGGAGTGGCAGCAAAGGAATTCAACTTGTCTGAGAGGACATCTATCGAGGAAATGGGACTTTAAAATCACCTTATGTGCAGGTGCTGGGTGGGACCCCATTACATTGCAGGATAGTTATAGATGGTGGTCGCTTGGGTACACCTTAATCCATAAAGCAGTGGATTGACCATGGATGATGAAAATGATGGTGGAAGATTAGAACTTAGATGGGATTTCTAATAGCTTTCCTGGGAACATAAGCTACTTAGTTGCATGACCTAGAACTGGCATGCAGAAAACCTATCAACTAAGAATTGTGTCTTTGGGATATAACATAGAAAACCTGAGCTGGTTCTGAAATGGCAGTGTTGTGACTTGTAATAAGTAAAAATAATAATTAAACTTCTTTTTTGTTATTTCCACAGCCAAACATGTGGGCAGTGGAGTTTCTGCTTTCCTCCGTCCACCTAAATTGGACCTTTGTTGGTGATTTGCAAAACTTAGCCTACCATGAGGGGATAGTCGAGAGGTGATGCTCATTCCATTGCACACTGGGCTGGCTTTGTGCTGTTTTGGTGCTTTTGGATTAAAGCATATCTATAAGCAAAGTGGTTATGTGTAAACATTGTCTCCACATGTAAATACAAACTGTGATCGTTCTCCACAACAATGGAAATTACTTCGCATACAATTTTGATATTTAAAGTGAACATGGCTCCATTATTTATATGGAGTGCTTTTGACAATGCAGGTATCCCCCACTAACTTTACACTTGTTTTCCGCATGTATGTTGCTGATGAATCAGGGAACATATTTGTTTATAAGTTTAATGGTACGCATGTGCCTTGCTTTGAAGAAAAAAATTACGAACATTTTTCGTGCATTCTAGATTTAAATCTTTCGTGACTGCAGGAATCCATACTCTTTGGTTCTTTCGATAAAGTCATGTAGTTATAAAATTAAATAAATCACGACGTTTCGTTTGGAACACAAGCAATCATCAGGTGGGAAAAACGTGACTTTACCGAAAGAACCAAAGAGTATTTTTCGTGCAATTTTAAACTCTGAATCCACGCGGTGAAAATAAATTATTTTGTGATATAATACTGTATTGTACACGCGTAGCATTTCCCAGGAACGCATTTGTGCATCAATAATATCTAGTGGGGGATTCCTGTAATATACGTTTTACAACTCTGACTGACGATGAGACCGAGAAAGTAAAAACAAGTCCATAGTGCTGCTACATAATTTTTGCCTTGAAAGCCAATAAGCTGATTGACTAAAACATTTCTTGACATTGCTTGGACTTGCTAATGTGCTTTCCTAACGTGCTATGTTCTGTTTACCTGCACCATTCTGGACCATGCTGGTTGAAGTCATAATTTACCACATACAGTCCTATAGATCATGCCAAATTAAGCTACGCAGACATAGGTTGTTTTCACGTAAAATGTTATCGTCATTTTGTGTTTGTAAATGTGTCCAGCAGCTATAATTGTCAACCGAAAACTATTCTAAAATACAATGATATTGTACATCTATCCACATAATGATCCTAAAAGTGAATTATTTTGGACCATATTCTTAGTTTTTTCGGTAAAGTCACGTTGAAGGGAAACAACAAAATAATAAAATATATATAAACCAATAAAAAATTCTCACGACGTTTCGACCATAACTCAAACGGTCGTCTTCAGGTGACGACCGTTTGAGTTATGGTCGAAAGGTCGTGAGAATTTTTAATTGTTTTATATTTTATTATTTTGTTGTTTCCCTTCAACGTGACTTTACCGAAAAAACTAAGAATATGAATTACTGCAGTCACGAAAGCTTTAAATCAATATTTTGGACCAGTTTCTAAAAAGAAAAATTATTGGGTACATTTCTTCTGCTAAATAATTCATGTTTGGGGGAAAAAGTCCAATGTTTCGCACCTGAACTCTGCTTCATCTGCTGGATTTCTGACAGGTTGGCTGTGCAACACCTTGAACAAATGTGTGCTCTGGCTGACTTGTTCAGGAAGGTCGACCATGCAGAGTTCAACTACCTTGGCATTTACTTTTCAAGCCTAATCTTCTTCTTCATGATGAGGCAAGTGCTACTGAAGCAGTTTTTAGCACAAAAACCGGCGGTGAGAAAGACAATGTTGTTTTACTTGTACCATTCTCTTTCATGCCATCATGTATACGCTCATGAATGACAGCCTCTGCATGACGTTGTCATATGTCGCCATTATGCGATGCATAAATTACATGAACTCCTGTACATCAGTTGATTTTATTACACCGTCTCTGGTAGATACCTACTCAGGCATGTTCCCTCTTTTGACTGCCACTCTTACGAGTCTTGACTTGTGGCCATCCATTCTAGGGACGTGTCCTACTCAAGCCCCCACTTAACTGTTCTTAAGTCAATGTGTTTTATTTTAAACCATGTGGTCTCAAGTGTCATTCCAAGCATGCACTTCTCCATGCACTGTTGAGCTTTTGTTCAATTTGTAAGTGTTCCTCATCCGTATGTCATAGCAGCGCACCGACTAAAAACATTCTACTGTAGGCATATAGGTATGTTGATTTTAAACATATTTTAACTGAGGTTGAATTATTAAATTTGTTTACTCTGTCTTCAGATGATCTGGTAAAGTTGATTTAATATGAATTACATTTTATTTTTAATTTTGCCCTCCTGTTAGAAATCCTCCTCTTAGATAACCAGGATGGTGGTACTGCAGTCAGTGCTTGACTAACAAATGAACCTTATGGTGGGACCCTGGGGTCCCGAATAAACGAAAGTCAAAATTGTAATTAATTTATTTTTGGCGACTCCGTCCCCACAGCGCACATAAACGCTGCGACCCACCGGGCGCGGATCATTCTGTTGTCATGTCGTCCAAGCGCAGCGAGGACAAATGCGCAGAAGAAACAAAACTTTGATTAGTGTATAGTGTAGAGCTCGTCGAGAGGAATAGATTGCTGTATCGTTCACCTTCAACAGACATTAAATATTAATCATAATACAGTTAAAATGTTTTTTATAACCCATCCATGAAATGTGTGTGACGTCTTGGTGCTCATATTCTTTGGGTCTTTCGGTAAAGACACGTAGATAGAAAAAAATATATAAAAATAACAATATCACGACGTTTCAATCACAACACAAACAATCGTCATCGGGTGAACAAAATATAGCGGGGATAGCTGCCGAGGCAGGAAAAATATATGGCGGGAGAGCTGCTTAGGCAGGATGTTATAAAGGTTTGAGATGGATGTAGCCCAAGGGTAAACGGGCGGAGCTCGAGATGAAATTTGCATATAAATGTAAGATCGGAGAGCTGAGCCATACCCACGACGACGGTGTGTGGGTGGCCATTATATTGTGAGAGATTAGAATGTCATTGTAAGAAATTTGCATGTAAATGTAAAATCGGAGAGAGCTCGGCAAGAGCCAGTCTTGGTGTTACATTGCATTTCTGTTCCTGAATGTTTGGGCGCTTTCTCAAATGTTTTCTCTTTTAGAAGGAACGTTTCCACCGAACCAGAGAAGAAAATTGTAAAAAATTGGATGGCGTCCACGGTAATATATGTTTAAAAAATCACCGTTTTGCTTTTATTATATTTAAGAAAAACAAAGGAAATAAATCGGGGTTTTTTTTACAGTTAATAGAGGTTGTAAAATGCTTTAATGCCAATCATACGTTAGGGAATTAACCATTACAAATTTACAGCATTGTCCATTTAAATTGTTGGGACTACGTGTAATTTTGTTGATTGTGTTATTACGAGCTCAATTCTTGCTACTTTGTACTTAACACATTTCAGGCCAGTGAATTCTGAGAGATGCGTCTTTCACTTTTATGTGCCCTGTTACAATATAACAGAGTTTTAAACCTGTGCAGTACGTACAACTCTCACTGCTGGCAGTGAGTGTCAAATATGAACACACCTTGTCACTGAAATAAAAGTCCCTTACAGAGAGATGTGGTAGCATTTAGTTAGATGCTTTATATAAGCAACTTGTATTTGTATTAATTTTGTTTTGAGTCGCAGCATAATCATCTAATATAACTCAATGGCCACAGTTGGAAGGTTGTCACAGTTCATATGGTTCAAGTGGCATTCCTTTCGGTGCTATTGAAATTGGATTATTCATTTCTGAAGCCAAAAACTATATGGAATAATGTATTTGTATAATACCATATTTGATCTTCAAATCACAAATGTTCTTGACATGAAAAATACCAGGTATTGTCTAACTTCACCCAGAAACAGTATATTTAATGTTGATATGTTGAAAGGATATTTTTGTTGTATCTTGTTATAGGTATGAATAGCTATTTTACTATTTTAAATATCAAGCGTATACACTATGAATTCACAGCATTTTAAACATTTAACCTTTTTTGTGGCAGATTACTGATAAGATATAAGTTTCAGTATTTCCCTCATACTTTGCAATTGTGGTTGCAGCTGCGGCTTGAATTATTTAAAAAAAGTACATTCGAGCCAATTTGTGGAAGTGAAAATGTTAAATTCATTAAACACATGACAATCTATAATAAATAAATGCTGCCTTAATTCTACTCAATCATTTAACAATGTTAATTAATCAATTAGTTGCTATGTATTATGGTGCTTTTGGGTAATTATATAATTTTGGATTTCAGTGATGTCAAGCTTGGGTGGGGTCATGGGTAATTTTAGGCAAAATGTATCTTGGTCTATTTTGATAATGGTACGGTGTCTTATGATCTACACATTAACATAATTTATCCAAGATATGAGCTACATTCTACCAAGTTTCTAAGTACACATGTATCACTAAAAGGCATGTAATGATTCAACCCTCTTCAAATGAGTTGTTACAATTCAGGATTGCCATTCATCCTAATAATCCATTGCTTTTAGTCTTTTTTACACTGGTTTGCTTGTATTATCTTTCTCATGTTATACCTTGTTTTGTACGTGGTCTAAGATGCAATTCACATAATTTGAATTAAAAGTAGAGTAAATAGTCTAATGCAGCTATCCCTTGCCAACCGCGGAAGTTGGGTTTCCTGGAAAAGGTCACTGTGGGCATCAGTTTAACACGTAGCAGGAGGCTTTCGCGACCAATATTATTCATAATAAAGGTTTTTGGGTTTGCGTTACTTATAAATATGTCGTAACCCTCCACCCGACACGGCCAAACAGTAAAAAATGTGTCACGTTTACAAAGGACATAGTTCACTACTTTAGCCCACCGGTGTGTTGAAGAGTGAATCAACATCATTTAAAATTTGAGTACGGCGTTTCGCTGGTAATTACATCCAGCATCATCGGGCAATTCGCCAGAATGGTAAAGCCCTCACTTGCTACAAGTCTTAAATAGAGCAGCAGGGTGACCTCATCATTTAACTCATTCAGGTGCAGTGATTTGAGGCGGAGGGGGGGGTATTGTAATTATATAATCGATTGGTAATCAGTCAATGGTTATGATTAGTAATGAGTTGTAGATTAGTAATTAGTTGTAGTGTGTGTTATTGTCATTATATGCTACGTTAGTAATCCGTTAATTAGTATGTAAGGAATTGTAATATGTATTATTTAATAATACGCTTCCAAGCCAGACGGCCTGTAGCTGTCAGCGATTAAAGTTATTTCTGTTTCTCTCAATTTCAATGGATTCTCTAATTATTCTTTGCCAGTAATAATTAGTTTTACACAACACTTCAAAGTTATCAAAATCAATTGAGTGTCCTTGTTGACAAGCATGTTCTGCCACTGCCGACAGTTGTTTGAGAATTTAATATTTATTTGGTGTTCTTTTCGTCTTATGCTGATGTTACGTCCCGTCTATCCAATATAGCATCTGCCACATAAACAATTAATCCGATATACACCTGTTGATAATTTAGATAATTCGTCTTTAGTGAAAGATACTAGTTTTTTAATTGTGTACTGTACCAAATCTTACTGTAGTGTTTTGCTTTTGCATATCCTCAGTTGGTAAAGTACATTACACAATGTAATAAAACATAAATGAACATTAAATTAACTTTCTATTATTTAATACTGGGGGTATAAGTTAATGATTATGACAATGAGATGATGGGGGAAGGGTGGTTAGAAGGAGGTGCTCAGTCCACAACAAATAGAAGCAAAATATGTGGTTGCGATAATAATAACAACAAAACGGACGGCTGATAAGCTACCACGCAGCGCCACGGATTTCCCGGTGGCTCGGGAGAACCGCGGCCCCGAAAAATGTGTAGATGCATGTTGCGGGCCAATGTTTACCTGTGTATATTCAAAATTGCCAGGCCGCGTTTGGCCAGCGATTTGCTGTACACGCCATTCTATGAAAGTATCATGAGCGTACGAATATATTTAAATAAACAAATTGTTCTATACCTAATGCATTAGATTCTGCAGAGCAATGACAAAATGTGTATTCAAATACAAAAAAGACAGGAGGATTTTTGTTTTATCCTGTGGGTAATTAATCCACGAGTAACAAATGTGACTTGCCTTCCCTGCCTTTGAAATAATGGACTGTTATGTGTCCCTGTGTGTATGCATCCAGGTGATTCCAACGCTGGTTCGTTTAAATACGAAAGAGAGCATTGAGCTGCAAAAAGCTGTTTGCCTATTTTTTTTCAATCATCCCAGCTAATGAACGCATAATGAATGCTGTGCCAATTGTCGCACTTCCAAACCACGTGAACATTTGTGTTTTGTTCGATTTTTGTATTGCAACAAATGGTTTGGTAAACAAACGTGGTGTCGTTCCACCAAATGACGGGTGTGGTTGTAATTTGTAGCGCGAGATTTACTTTTATACTGTTGACTTTTACATGTTTGCCATAATTGTTACGTAACTTTCAGTGTATCTGTGCTTTACATGTTTCACAGATGTTTGATTTTTTTTTCCCGAAATGTAACCGCAATATTGTTAAGTTATTGGACTTTTGGAGTTTATGCAATGCTTAAATAGAATTAAGGTAAATGTGACGTAACCAGCCACACTCTGCCATATTCTGTGCTAACTGGTGGCTTATCTTTCTGAGGACGTGGCAAATAAAATAAAAATTGAGGCTTCTATTGAAGCGTAGCAACAATTCTTGATTTTAAAAAAGAATATATAATAAAGAGTGTAAAAAAATTATCGAATAAACCTGATTTCACTCTCTTCCATTGTCATTTATTCTCCCTTTAATAACATGACAGGTTCAGGTTCATGGGTATTTGTCATCGTGTTTCCATATAAAATAACCTTTCTCGAATTATGTATTCATGTACAGTGCTTATTAACAGCATGACAAGTGTTATGTAAGATTGCAATGATTATGTACGTTGAACGTTTGCACTACGTAGCCAACCGTGCTAATCGGAGGTGCGATTAGTGGACACCAGAAACGTTTTACACATGCCACACCATGGGAATGGCAGTACAGACAAGGAAAAATATATAAAATGTCATGCTCGTGTTCAATGGACTGCAATTGAATAACTTAAGTAATCATCCATATCGCAAATACTGCAAAGCAAAAAATAACATAATTAGAAATATTTAGGAAAAAATTCGGAAACATTGCAATCATTGTAAAATTTATAACAATTATATCGTGAAAATTACCGTGGAAACCCGTCATGGACATTTGCCTACGATTTGGGCATACAAAATACGACCGACAAGGTGCCAAGACTGAAGGCACTATCTGTTCTGGGTTCGAATGTAGTGTACAGTGTGTGGGACCACAGTACAGGCACCTTCTCGTCTTGGCGCCGAGTGTTTATCTCACCATTGCTGGTGGGTGGGATCAGCGTGTTAAGGATTTGAGAGGACTCCCCTGACCTCGCTGCAGGGTTCTTAAATTACACTCGGAGTAAATGTCAGCCGCAGCGTCGCGTCGCCATCGTGTGCACTGGGGGAGTCGATGTTGCTGCACGTGGGAGACCCTCACCATTGCTTGTTGCGCTGTAAAAAAAAAAACTTCTGCCCGTTTTGTCCTCAGTCTCGCAATAATCCTATGTTCCACGAATAGGTATTACTTTGCAGCTCCTGTGAGCTCGCTATTGTGCATTTTTACTCTGTACGCACTGACCTGGCTTGTTAATTGCCATTAATCGTGGCTCCGAAGCGTTCAATGAGAGAGAGAGAGGTGTACGTCTGCACTTTGCTCTCTCCTTGCATCTCCCGAGGAGTCATCCTGAATTCCTCACCATTACCACCACCTCCATTGTCGTCAAATCAAAGTTAATGGGAAAAAAGGTTATTATTAATTGTGTAGTCATTGTTATTAAACATTTACCATTCCCCCCCCCCCCCCCCCATATGTTTGTGGGGGCTCACTAGCGCCCACACCTGCGAGCGATTACCTCAACGAGCGTCCGTGCACGCCGCAGCTCACGCAGCACCCGCTGCACCTGCGGGCGATTATCTCAACACGCGCGCACACCACGGCCAACGCCGCATGCCCACGCCCGACACCTGCGAGCGATTACCCGCCGCGGCTCCGCGTCCACTCTCGCAGCGCGTTTTCCCACGCAGTCGCACCACACAAATGACAGACCACACCGATGCTCTGTGCTAACTTTTATTTGCGGTGCAAATACACACTACCTGGGGGAATATTTTGCGAGAAGAGCCGAGCCTGCTGCTGCTGATTAAGTGCCCAGTCACTCAAACGCCCAACCACGTACCTCGAAGCTGTACTCAAGGCATCGCACGGACGCTGTGAGAGTGAGTGAGAAGGACGAGAGAACTTTACCTATCACTGCCTCGTAGTAGCACTCGCTGGCATCACGGATGCTGCGAGCAGCGCGAGGAGGCAGGATGGCAGGGAGTGAGTCTTGGTGGCCCAGAGGTTGAAGACAAGGGCGAGGGTTGTCCCGGGTTCCCCTTTTTATACCCCTAACTTCAAAGGCCTGGGGTGACGTACCGCGCGGCCAATCGGGCGCCTACCTCTGATTACCGCTCACTTGGACCTCGTGCCACGGGGAGTGCTGCTGCTCCGCCTACCCATTGTTCTCCCGTGCTTTTTAATTCTGACCTTGTCTGCCCTTGCCTAATATTCTACCCTCAGCCTCTCCCAATGTCGTGAATGACTCATTGCGGCTGGCCCAGTGAACCTGCATCCATACAATTTTAAACCAACTCGGGGGCACCGCAATGTGATCTGTCCTGCGAAGGTCGGCCAATCTGGCACCGGGAAATCGTGGGACTTTCCTCCTAGGGGCCCTTCGGATTAAAACCCATCATGCGTGTGGGTGCTCGGGGTGTGTGCTCAGCGTGGGGGCCAGGGGGGTCACAGCGCTGCCGAGTTTCTTCACGGCCGTGGCACCACATGTTCACCCGTACCAGGAACAGAACCCCACTTTTTCTCTCTGGAACAAGGATTCTGCATTTGCGAATCTTGTACTCCCAAACATTTTCAAGAATGTAATTTTGGCAAATAGAGGTTACTGTTTTGTTAATTTTGCACCATGAACCCTGCCACCCGAGTTTGATTTCTCAGCCACGGTTAACATCAGTGGCCAAGTGCTGTAATTTGTGTGTGTGGGGGGGGGGGTTAAGGAGAATGTGCTAGAGTGTACACGTTGCGATAATTCGGAATAGGTGGCCGGAAGGTACTGTTATAGTTTAAGACACGTGCCGTAGTGGTGTGCAGGGCACCGTCCGATCGGCGAGGGGCCGAGCGGGTATAATAGGGAAGGGGAGGCCCGCGATCTGGGTGCTTGACCGGGGACCCCAACGACCGAATGAAGTGGACGACATTGGGGCTGACCGATCGTGGAGCAACAAGGTGGAAACCATTGGGGCTGACTGATAGCGGAGTAATTGCCGGCGGAGTTGTAATTACACTCGAAGTTGACAATACAGTACGTTACCTTAAGAAATAAACTTTACCTTTTTTGAAAATGGATGTCTCCAAGGAGCTTCTTTATACATTGATGGATTAAAATGGCTGCATTTTTTTAATTTTAATCAAATAAAGTTACTTGTGGTTTCACTTGCATGGTATCTGAACGTGTTTTTAAAGGTTAAACCACATTCGTGTGCTTATCAGTGCCCAGCAATGAAAGACGTTTCCTTTCTGGATTTCCAACCACATTAAGGGGTATTGATAGACTACGTGCTTGACTGCTGCACTCGTCAATGCTAAATGGTAGTTCGCCATCGTTTAACCTCTCTGCAGTGCATTCCGTGGCGAATACATTTTAAGAGAAGTCTCATGGATCTGAATGATTGGCACGCCTTGGAGAGGCCTTCAACTAGCAGTGGATTGACACGGTTTTAAAGTACTACGTAAATTTTTGAATGGTGGATTGTGGAGTTTGTACTTTGCAGTCTCTGCAACAGAACTTCGAGGTTTGTGAATTTTACTGCCAAATAGGAAGCACTGCAATGCACCCAGTCAGGCCATTTTACGTCTGGTTTAGATTTTATTTCAGACTCACGGGAAGCACGCAGGCGTTGCCGGGTACTTCCCGTGCGTACTGACTGGTGGTACCTGCTATGATTACAGCAGTGCATACTGTGGTGGTACCTGCTTTCACTGCAGCAGTGCATACTGTGGTGGTACCTGCTATGATTCCAGCAGTGCATACCGACTGTGGTGGTACATGCTATCACTACAGTAGTACATGCTAACTATAGCAGTATTTATCGACTATAGCACAAAGTACTCACCTGAGAGTGGCGTGGTGAGGCCTAGTCCCGTGCAGAGCCTCTGGCCTCGCCTAGATTGCCCAGCTGGCTGAGGTGGCACCTTTGCAGGCTGGGGCTGGGCTGCTACCCCTGACCCCCCCCCACCCCCCCCCCAGCCACGATCTTCCCGGCCGCTCTGCAGTAATATCTACGGCCAAAAGTGATAGCATCTAGCGACTGTATATAGTAGTAACTGCACGCATCGGGGTGGGAGGGGGGACATACAGTGAAGATTTAAGCTCAGCGAAAATGTCCCCCTCACTCCCACCGAAGGCGTGTGACTTGGCATGGGCCGTCCCCCCCACCAAAAGCGCGTGAGTTGGTATGGTCGTGCGCGCGTCATAAATAAATAAATAGCACGCAAAAATCGCACTAAATCGCTAATGAAACCAATTCAAAGTTGACGGATGTGAAAAAGGAATAGTGCTTGCTCACGGCGGGGCTTACGGCATGGTACCTGACTATTTTTTATTTAACGTAAACCCCACCGTTGGAGAGCCAAATCCTTCCCAAGCGCGCGAACACACACAATGCCACACACAAACCCACAGACCATTTTTGGCTTTTATATATAGATAGATTACAGTACACCGTTTGCATCGATATTTCAGCCAAAGTATCAGACATTAAAAAAGCACGTTTGAATCATAAAAAAACACATTCACAAAGCAGAATGGTGATTTGACCAGTTTTATGCAACAAAAATGTGGTTCAAATTGCCTTTCTGCGAACACATTAATTAAGCTGTACCTTTACTTTTGGTAGAATAAATAATTAGGAGGAAATCTCTATGCATTACATTCGAAAGTACAATTCCCATATATGGCTTGAGGAACATACTTCGATGCCGTTTGTAAAAAAACATGAATATGTACAACCGTTACCTTAAAAAAATGTTCATTCACATTACAAAGAAAATACATTCAAAGAACAGTATAGGATGGTACAGGCATTCTCATTACGACAAAACATTGTACCGTTTGTAAATGATGATTACTGATAATATATTATGATTCACGATTGCAAATGACTATTAGTGATTGTAAATGACAATGATTAAGGATTGTAAATATCAGCAATGGCTGCAAGTGCTCGTTACGTATATAATTAATGACAAAGATTTTGGAATGATTTGCACCCTAAACTACTTTCACTCTTGGTGAGTTCAGAGAACATGGTGTAATTTCTTACAATGGTGAAGCTCAACAAAGAGGATAAAAAAAATTCAAGTATACATTTTATGAAATACATGGTGCTTTAAAAAACATGTTAACACTTAATAATAGGGTTTTTTCCCCTTTTTTCTGGCAACAAAACTGAAACCTTTTTTACAAGGATTCATGTCTGCATTAACCACAATACCTGCAGTTAAAATGCAAACAAAAAAACATACTATGATAATATATGCATTGTCCTTGAAACTGATTGGTCTACATCAAAAAAAGCCGTCCCTTGGTGTGGACCAATCAGTTTCAAGGACAATGCATATATTATGTTTTTTTGCATTTTGACTGCAGGTATTGTGGTTAATGCAGACATGAATGCTTGTAAAAAAGGTTTCAGTTTTGTTGCCAGAAAAAAGGGGAAAAACCCTATTATTATATTGTGGTACTGGCAAAGGAGGTCTAATGATGTTAACACTCATGAGAATTTGCAACAATACCACTAAGAAATGTGCTGCTGCCTCCAGGCTCTGGAGACCACCTGGAGAAGATTCCAGACGTGTTGACAATGATGGCGAACAAGTGTATACTGACTTTTTGAAGCTATTAACATACATTTGTTATCATGTTACAGTGCATTATCTATTCTTTTTCCATCAAAAACGATAGTCCCATGTAAGTGTTAATATTGTTTTTGAACCACCCTGTTTATCACTGGCACATTACAGGAGAGATGCTTAACTTTCATTATATTTACTTTTTTGATTGTGTACGTTTATCGTCGTCCCCCCTCCCCCCCAGTTTTATCCCAAGTATGCTTTTGGAATTGTCACAAAAGATAAAGTATTGTGTCCATTTTAATTAGCAACAGTGCAACCTTCTTCACCCTGCCGTGTTGGAGAAGTCCGAGAAAAGAGATCTCACGGAACTGCTTCTTAAATCTATTTGAACAACTCGAGCCTTTTGCCTGTCACCGGACGGGTGTGTATTGCAGTAAATCTGAAACTTGCAAACGAAAATCAGACCGCGACGTGATATATTAATTGCATCAATTTGCGTGCAATTTGTAAGGGCGCGGTGACACAGACCTATTTTATTTTAAGGTTATAATCCCTTGTTCATCATGACGTCCTTTTTACTTTGATGTCTCAACAACAGCGTCACGGAGATCACGTGACGCGAGGGTTCTGCCTTTGTAGTGAGGGTTGTGAGTTGACGCCGAGGGGGAGGAGGAGGCGCCTCGCCCCTCCCCCATGTGGAGTGACGTCACCCGCTAATTATTATGAATTGGTGGGGGGGGTGTCCATTTGGAGGACGTCACCTTATGATTATTAATGAGGGGGTCCATTCGATGTGGAGTGACGTCACCTGCTCATGATTATTAATGAGGGGGGAGGGTGCTCCATGTGAAGTGACGTCACTTGCTCATGATTATTAATGGAGGGGGGGTGTCCATTTGGAGGACGTCACCTGTTCATGATTATTAATGAGGGGGGCTGGTCGACGTGGAGTGACATCCCGAGTGTTAAGGACAGACATTCCTGGGTGATTATAGTAGGTATGGCTGCTTATGAGGGGGCATCACTTTCCCATCCACCTTGCGAGAGAGAAGTGCTCATCGCATCACAGTCAACCAGCATTTTAAATGCTCACAGGGGGAATTTTTTTTGCCAAATTAGGTGCCGAACAACATCTGAAATGGGGTCGGAGTTAATGCACAGTAATTGGTGACCAGGCTGAGAACATCAACTCAACACGTTCGAGAACTCGAGATAATCATGGGCGGCTGCCCGGATTTGAACTCAACAATGCCACTTCAACATTTACCTGAGCCACCCGGTGATCTCGCTGAAGACATGCATCAAAAAATCACTCTCAAACAATGCTTGAGAATGATTTTGGAATATAACACGAAGCTATGATAGCCAAATGTTGTAATACATTCTACGGTGAGCATATACGGTATATAGCCAGTTGTCTTAGCTATAGGACCCATTTGAAGTAAAATGTAATTTACAGTTTACATTTTTCACAAACTGTTCTGCCCTTTGGCAAGCCGCTGCTAGATGACATCTTCCATTATTGATCGTGGAGGATGTTTGACGGCACACTGGTCGGTGTAGACCAGTTCAGATATATAACGCGTCACTGCTGATAGCTATGGCTGGGAATTTAACTCTGATCACCCGATTCATAGTGCAGCATGATAAACACTGTACTATCACTCCACCCCTTAAACTTATAGAACAAAGTGTCTTAATTGCAACTCTAAACCTAAGATGTGTCATTGCTCACTAAATATTATTCTTACGGCATTGAATAGAGAATGCAAGCTGTTCAGGTTATTACTTAGCAGAATGGTTGAGAAAATAATTTATAACTGCAATGTTGAAAAAGAACAATGACTGTACACATAAAATTGGCTGTGTAAAAAAAAATGATACAAAAAATATCTATTTCATGGATTTTTGGTAGTTTCCACGGAACAAGATATGTTACTTTTAGCTGAACTAAATAGTATTATCATCATGGGACCCTTTGATAGTATCAAAATGATGACAAAGGAACAGTTACCCTTGTCAGAAATAATACATGTGTTAAGATGCTAAAACACCAAATAGACACTTATGGCAAGGCATCAAGACCGCATTAATCACACGTTATTTAACTGCTCAATCCGCGTCATCAATGCTGTGATATTTTCATTGCCCTTTGTGCTGTTCGCCCTATGGCCGGCCAATCTCTAGTCTAACACCGATGAGACAAGGCCACAAATGAGGCTCTCTCTGGTGTAGGCCAATCCGTTTCAAAGACAATGATTACATTTTATATCAAATCATGTTTTACCACAAGTATGTGTGAGTAATGCAGACTTTATGCCTTGCGCAGGGTGTATATTTGGTATTTGAACATCTTAACACCTGTATTCATGGCGGAAAAGGGTAAAGGCTTTTTTTTCCATCAGTAATACCACAATGCAACTTCACACATCTTTCGATAGCTGTACAATGTAAAATATTAAAACGTATTAAACACACGACATTCGATTTTTTTTTTAAATGTTGCAACTCCTAGTACATTCTGCAAACACCACATGTAAATCCCCATTATCAAAAATAAGACCGTGTCTGTGTGAACAGTGCGATTCGCTGCAGAGGTGGAACACTGATGACGCTGATCTGCTGGCTTAAGAGGATCGATCGGTGGCCCTTCTGCAATGGAAAAATATGTACGTTTATTCACCCCTCTGACCACTTAATCTCAATCAGTGTTGAACAATTTAGTCTGAAGGCGTATGTTTGCCACGATGCCTGTTTGCTTCCGTACCATTGTGGCGCTTTGCTGGACGATGATAACTGTCGGAACTTGGGGGTAGCTCGCTACCATTTGCCAAGGTGGGGACAGCATCTGGTCGCTTGGCTTGGTGGTGGTCTGTGGTCGTACCTCTGCTCGTTTGCCTCGTGCTCTCGGTGGGATGCGATGCAATGTTTTTTGACGGCCTGGTGCTCGACTCTATTTGTTCCCTCTTCGTGCTCGACGAGAAGCTGGGCTCACTCGGACTTGCAGCCGAAAAGTTTCCAATAAAGCGCGGCGTGCCGGTGGCATTTACTTGCTTGTCGGGAGATGTGCCGAGATTCAGATCGCCGTCTGAAGTAACTTTCGACGGTGCAACAGTTGCACCGCCCGTACCAGTCTGGGTAGAATCTACTGAGTGCCCGCTCACCGTCGTGCTGTCGAGGTCAATGCGTTCATTATTTGTCGATGCAGTAACGCGAGTGACGAATGAGGTCAAGAGAGTCGAGTCAGAGGCATAGGAACCCGTGGAGTTTGTCTCCATGGGTGGGGTGGCCACCTCCCTGTGGGACACTGCGCTGGAGGTGATGTTGGCTATGGCCTGGGCTGTCGCATTGGATGTCGCGTTCACTTCGTCCAAAGCCATGGAATTGGTGAACATGTTGCGTACACGATTGAAAGTGGCAATAGTGACGCTCTGGTCTAAACCACGAGCAGCTGTGGTTTCGTGTTGATTGTCTAAATACATGGAGGTGTTGGTGGTCAAAGTCTCGTCTGAATACGTGGCAGTGGATAATGAAATATGTGTGTTACCTGCCACTGTCGGTTTTTCAGTATGATGTAGGAATATGCAGGACTCTAAATGATTTTGGAATGTTTTAAAATCAGCTTTATATTTCTTCAAATAGCCTAAAACCGATTGTAATTTGTAAATAAGTTCTGAAGGAGATATCTTTGTCTTGCTGTAACTCTTGGTGATTTTCTGAGGAACAAAAACATTGTTTAACCAAATATTCGCTCACAGTGTACCGTAACTGCAATATTTATTATTTTCAACTCCATGACTGGCAGTAAAAAAAAACGAATTCACTTTTTTTAGCTGGGATTATTACAGCTCTTATGTATGCGTGGATGCGTGTTGAACTTTTTTTTCGCACTGTATGTAGCCAACCGTGCTAATCGATTAGCTCATTAATCATAGCATGTTGATATAATTTGTTGTCCACCCCCGCACCTCTTATTAGCAACATACAGTAACAAGCAGCACACCCGTCCTTCGGACATGACTGATACGTCGCACACAATTCCGAACATCACAACTAACCGGAAAGTATTAGGAGAGCTATACAGCACCACCGCAAAAATACTGCAAAAAACCTACGCAGAAGATAATTGAGTTTGGAGTATAGCTTGAATGCTCATACACTCAGCAGGTCTTTAATTGCGTTTGTCGCTATGCACATTTGGCGGTGACAAATGTTGAACTCGACCCAACAAGCGACCTCCGTATTGATTTATTTGGGTCCTGAGAGTGGGTGCGTTTGTTATATCATCATCTCCCGGTGACAGCTGTCCCCGTGCAGCACTGGCTAGTAGGTGAACATCCGGCTGCCAGTAGGGGGCGATGTTGCTTAGTGGTTTCTCTATTGAGTAGTTTTGAGTAATTTGTGAAAGTTGCCAAATTTGGACATGACACCGAACATAAACAGGCAAGTCTTAGCGTCTTACCTTTAATATGTCGAGGACGCTCATTTCATCTAAAATATCGTTGATGTGTTTCTGAACTGGATGCTCTTCATGCAGATGGCTGTTTAGATGTTTCAAATCGTTGTTCAGAAGGTGGAAAGACAATCCAGTGGTACATATCTGGTTATGACAAAAATGAAACGTACAGTAATTCAATTATACTCATGAATCGAAATAATGTTTATTTTCCCACACTGCAGTAGTTTTGCAAAGTCTTCTCTCTGGGGTGAATGCCGGACAGCAAAGCAGACGTTCCACACAGCCATCGTGATTCCACCGCCGAGCTTCCAATATATGTTGCCTTATTTGCAGATGCATTACGTACTATTGGCATATTACAATGTTCATGGATGGACTACAGGCGAGTGGATAACATGAGAAAAGTGAAATTATACGAAGCGTGACGGGATATATTAAAATTGAGTTATAAAATATACGTGTAAGCAGCATACAAAATGTTCTGCGTTTATAGATGGTGTGACTCACCTCATCCTCAGCCATAATATCAGGCAACACGTTTGTCTCGACCTTGTAGTCCAGTGGAAATAATACCATCTAAAAGTACAAAATGTTTGTGGTTATATATTAAACAAAACCCATTTGAGTTTGTATACAATTCCATTCTCAACACTGAACATCATTCATATCCTGCACTGCACTGGTGCTCGCGGTTGTGCTGGACGGCTGTCCGTTGTGTTTTTGCGTTGTTACCACGTGCTGTTCAGCGTGATGTCCGACATTTTTTTCTACACATACAGGGAGCTTCGGAAATTGAATTCAGCAGCTCAAGAGAGTACATGAGTTACTAAATGCAATCCCTTAAGAAGCTCTGAGCTCGTGGAACGAAACGTCGGACATCATGCTGAACAACATGCAGCACAACCCGAATACACAATTGTTAATAAGTACCGAGTGTCACTGTGGTCTAATTTGCTATTGATATATCAGCCTATTTTATCTTCTTCCAATATGAAGTACTTTTCTGTTAATTGGTGTTATAAGACTGTAAATTGCGTGTGTTTGGAGTGTGGATTTTCAATTATGCCTGCACACCATTGCCAATTCAGTCTTAATATTTTCTCTAGTATCAACTAGTATGCTTAAATCAAATGTGAATATTAATTTTGGAAGAAGATTTTTATTTTATAAATTTGGATTGTTAAAGGAAAACTAATGGCCCTGACATTTCTTGCTCCACTAGGGGGAGCTTTAGAGAGCCATTCGAGAGAGTATTTTGCTTGCTGTTCCACGCTGGAATTACTCAACACATACGTCAATAATCAATGTGAAGTAACTACAATATTGAGTGAAACAACTTGTGTAGGAGTGAGCTAAGCGATTCTTACCATGTTGTTTTTAAAATTGGGCATCGATATAATGCCCTCAATCATTTCCAGATTATTAGAATCATCTTCATTGGCAGGATGAGCGTTCGTACCAGGCACTTGCTGGTACTGTAGTAGGAGGAGAGTGCAAAGTGCTGTGGGGAAGGAAAAAGACAAATTATTAGATTACATGACACATTATTTTCGTATGCCAATTATTCATGTATGTTACAGTGTATATTATTACGATAATGTGTGATCTCTTTTTACCTATTCAACATAACGTTACATGGATTCGATGTTTTAATGTACAAAATATCTAAAGTTAAAACATGGGTTAGAAAAAAGTATTTTAATCGAGGTTTTTTTTGTTAGGGTTAGAATAAAAATATATTTTACCAGTTGGTAAAAAATACAATTTTGTTAAACCATTGCTTCCACATGCAACACAAACATGAAGGATATTTTTGTAATCCTATTACGTTATTTGTTACCTTTGGCCAATTTTTACTCATCTTCTTTGGTTCTTTCGGTAAAGTCACGTAGAATGAGAATAAAATAATAAATTGATAAAATAAAATAACACAATAATATTCTCACGACGTTTCAATTTATTAGTTTATTCTCATTCTACGTGACTTTACCGAAAGAACCAAAGAAGATGAATCATTGCAGTCACGAAAGCTTTAAATCGAATTTTTTACTCAAATAAATATTTAAAAGCACAAATAAAAAACAGGAAAGCGTTCTCCATCATTATTATTATAATCTTGAAATGTTTATCGATGCTGACGCCATCCCTCGTGGCCCAGTGCTGCTGCCATCCTTCTCATCCCTGCACATGAACCGATCTCATCTCCGCATCTCTGTGGTGGTCGTCCTCTTGGACGCATTCTCTCCTTTGGCTGCCATTCGGTCAACAGTCTCATGGGTCGGCCATCATCCCCACCCAGCCATGCATCCTGCCCAAGCCCATTCAATTGTCTTAGTTGTCAAAATGAGTTCTGCCTTGTCTTTGCTTCAAGATCGGCATGCCAGTTGTCTGTCTCTCAGTGTAATAACAAGCATGCATGTCTTCAAGCTTCTTTACGGAATGTTCAACTTTTATTCCATCTTTTTTAGCCTCCATGTGTCTTATTAATGTCAAAGCCAACAGTGGGTACTGATTAAAGAAATGGTATTCTTCAGATACATTGGTTTGCTTCTTTTCATTATCATGTTCCACTTCTCAAAGGCACTCCACCCTGCTTTTTTTCTCTCTGCTTTACTTCATAATGTTCATGTCTAGCTGCTTCAAGGACAGCCCGAGGTACAAATATTACGTCGTATTTTCTTGCGTTGTGTCCCTTCGACGGTAATTGTTATTATATTGAGCAGGTACTTTTTAAAACATGAACAAAAATCAAGTTATAAAAAAGTTGACGTGGAAATTATCTTTGAGTGTCAGCATTTATTTAGTCTTACATATCAGCTGATCGTGATGCCCACTGCTGCACACAAAAGTCCCAAAACTTCACCTAAATTACAGTTACGCCCAAAATCAATACTTTTTTTTTGAAAAATCACCTACATTTTTTCTTTAGAACAGAAACGTATGAAGTCTGATGAATTATAGACGAGATAGGTAAGAAAGTATGTCAAACCAACTTCATGTTACATCAATTTGCGAATCAATATCCTTAATACCATTCATCATACAGAGTGATACATTTATAGATGTCCTACTGATTTATAATGACCCTCTAACTTTTTTCTTAACAGCTGACTGAATATTGAATGTTCAAATGTTGAATTCTTGCATTGAGTTTTGGTGGCAAATGTGTTGAGGCTTGAAATACAATGTTTTCTCTATCATGATTCCCTATTATTTTAGTGGGGTATGTAAATTACTCACCCCTACAATACATTTGGGATCTATATCGCATCTAAATTCAACCACTTCTCAACACCATGATACTGTAGAATAGTACTTATTGACACCAAGGGTAAATGTAGAACCAGACGGAGACGAGGATTCTTACTTAAGGCTGCTTGCCGTTTATTCACACTCATACACACTCTGGCTACTGTACACTCACTCTCTGCACTCGACACTTACACCCATTATGGCGCACGTCAGAACTCTGTCCATTACGCGGACATCCCTTCAGCTATCCACGCCCTTGTACGGCTCCACTTTGTCTACCCCCTCGTCTGCCCGGGGCGGGGGATCATCCAACACCGCCCGGCGGCGAGGTGAGACCTCCACATCTCGAGCCCTTCTTCGGCGGCGGCTGGGATGTCATCCAGGCAGGCCCTCGTTCCTCTCTCTCCCAACGGCTTCACTCTCCCCAAGGCGACCCAGAACTCACGCACACTCCTGCCTATAATTGAATCGATTGGCGGTGACCCGGGTCACGAAAACCTCCATAACTCCAAAACCAGAAGGCCTATGAAGACCGGAGATGTCACTGAGCCCGATACGCACGCCAAATATGGAAATAAAAAAAATGCACGCAAAACACCCATAAAAACGGAGGGCCGCTGGGGATTTGTGCGTGGCAACGGCTGTTTATTGCTTGTTTTGAAAGTACATCAGGATGCTGGTCTGGTCATTCCCCAGCACGTTCTGCTTCTTACGGGTGCGGCCACCCTCCTTGTCTTTGGGAGCGAGACCACTTGGAGGCAATGGCGCACCAGGTGCTCTCTTGGTACGGCCGGCGGTCACGGTCGTGCCGGCGGGATCGACATCGTCGTCATCATCATCATCGCTCCCAGCGTCGCCCTCCGGCAGGACAGGGTGGCAGTACCAGCGATGCTCCCAGAAAAAAAAACCTTAAACTAAGCCCGGCCCACCAATATTTTGCGGTGACCCGGGCTACCGCCAATCGATTCATATTATATCCCCCTTCATTCTGAGTCCGCACGTGCTCCCATGGCACCAACCCCGTCTTCCCACACGCACACCTGCTGCCCCCAATTTCCCTCACTCACAGAGAGACTTGCGCAAGGTTGCATCATACATGCCCTTGCACGACCCTTCCACAAGTCACACTTTCCCGTGTTCGTACCTCGTGGCACTCCTCTACAATACCACTGTCAAGCAAAAGATGGCCGGATTGAAAAACATAGAAATGCAATGCAGTGTATTTATGCGTAGTATCCTATTTTCAACACTTTTTAAAATATATATTTAAATAAGCTCCATCAGCACATGCAGCGAAACATCAGACGTCGTTAATTCATTCAGAAAATTGTAAACGCGCACTAATTGGACGTACATTAAGAGAAAAGTTTTAAGGCAATGACGCCGATGTGCAGCGACTGGAGCTGCGACAGAGAATTGTCGTTCGCCTCGTCTGCTCCGAGAGACCACGGGCTCGACAAGGAGGCCACTTGATTCAGATCGTGCCAAACAACACGTGGTACAACCCGCAAATAGATACGCAGTCGCTGCATTCAAAACCCCAAAGCCATCCGAACAAATCTGTCCGCCCACCGCTTGCTGTGACAGTTTTGTGTGTTGCGTACCATTGCCTTCAGCATGTCTGGTTTGATAGCAGAAGAGGTCAGTCCGGATTTGGAGGAGGTGGGGGGGGGGGAAATATTTATCTGTTTATCATCACATACAGTATTCAACTTTATGCATGAAAAGTCTGTGGAACATCGACAGTTTGTAAAAAAAGGCATTTTGCTTAATTCATGTAAAACGTATAAGCACTCATTTAAGGATGGGTTGTCCAGTGGCTGCAAAACGCACGAGAGCGTCACGTTCCTGCAGCTGGTAAAGACGATGTGCAAATGTGTGTCCTGTGGACAGCCAAAGGGCTTCACCAAGTAAATGTGCAATGTTGAGCCAACGTTGGTATGTGGTTGAAACCATTGGACTAACTTTGGCCCAACGTTCTGTGTTTACTGTGATCCATTGTCTCACAGGTTAAGACATTCATCAAAATTTGGCATTCTAGAGATTTAAATACTCATCGTTGCTGGGACCGTTTATTTTGCTTCAATCTGTAGTAGCATCTTTCAATTGACTGCACTATTTTCTACTCTGCAATAATAAGTACTACTGTACAGTGTATGTGAAAAAACGTCCACAGGAATGTAGGCTGCAAGCAGCAATGATAGAATGAAAACAGAATGTGTAGATGACTGAGGCCAAACACCACACAATTGCCACCTTTTTTTTTGCTCGTCAAGAGGAATTTCCCGTACAAATATATCCAAAATGAACCCGGGAAAATCCTGTGCAGCACTGTGGCTGGCTCAGCTGTCGCTCAGAACTTTCCATCCAACCACAGAACCACTCCCCGTCGGATCCCAGAGATGACACTTGAATCGTTTGTTTGCATGTATTTTCCAACAAATGACAGGCTATTTTTTTATCTTACCAGGTAAGGCCCATGAAGCTATATAGCTATTTTTCAGAAGCGACCTGGCCATAAATGATAGCTCAACGAAGTGGCCTTTGTGGACATTTATAGCAGCCAAACACTCGAAACGCCTGTTTCTAAATGTGTGTGTGGGGGGTGGGGGGAACCGGACAACGTGGTGAACACTCTACGTGACCACGGGGAGAACATGCAAACTCCAAATATCTTGGCAAGGTAGTTAACATCTCACCACATAAAAAGAGAAACAGAGTTTTGGTCGACTGGTCTAGTTATAGAAATATTTTCTGAATATTTTTTTTTTCCACCAAAAGTGTCCCGCGTGTTAACTGACACTTGCGTAGCTAACAAGTAACGACATTTATAATCTATAAATTGCACAGTATGGATTTTTTGCAATGACTATCACACGCAGTCAAGCACATACATAATTAAGTGGTGTACACCGCCGGTTCGCATTGAATGTAACCTAGCCATGACAGTTAAAAATGGCGTGCGAGTGAGTTTTAATGACATATAAATAGGTAGAGACTATTGGCACATTTTAGTGTGTTTGGCAGATTGTTCCATGTTAAAGCAGTTCTGTGTCTGGAAGGCAGTGCGTCTGTTTGGGTTTCATGTATACATGTGTACATAGATATTGGGCACCCGGTGAGCCAACCTCCTAATGTGGGGGAAAGCCATATCAGGTTTTCATACACGTGGCAGTGATTTTGTTATGTAGACACACTATAAGAGAAACCTTCAGAGAGTGTAGATAGCATCTACGTTTTTAAGGCAGGTATGATAAAATACAACGGCAGTATAATCTAGAGCTGGGGTGAAATCTGGACAAAATCTGGTATTTCCAACATTCGGAATGCAGTCAAAACATTAAAAATGCCCCTTTCACTCTGTGAACTATAAAAGGCGTGGTTTTTCCCACAACATGTTTTCCTGTCCTTCCCCCGCACCTCCGATTAGCACGGTTGGCTATGTATGGTGCGAAAGAAATTCAACATACATACATACAACTCTGTGAGTTATTAATATTCATCATATTAAAACATAAATTCGTTTAGTAATACTCTGGTCATTGAAGGGGGTTGTCTGTTAACCAAGAGCTACTATGAGGTGGCTGTTCATATGCCAATTTAATACTGGTTATGAGAAAACATTTTTTTTTAATGGAATTCCCACCAGGCTCAAGGGTGTAAAGTGCAGTCTTGACTCTCTCTCTAGTGGCCTCTCTATGTGCTAAGGAAGGGCCATTGACCAAAATATTACCTATTATATATTTTTTTATTTTAAGGCCAAAGCATTATTGATGAAAGCGTTGAGTGTTTTGTTAAATGTGGCTCTGCACCACTGCCAACGCAGCATCACCAAATAATGTTTAATTTTAAAATGAATTTATTATAGACATTCTCAGTCAACCAATAGATGAAGGCCATCCCCACACTATATCGTTTTGTTGTATGTATGTTGAACTTCTTTCGCACCATACCTAACCAATCGTGCTAATCGGAGGAACAGTTGTTGACCATACTCCACCCAAATAGTCAGTGGGTGTTGGCAAAGGGGGTGAAGGTTCCAATATCACTTGCAAGTGGTGTTAGCTATGGATGGGCATCAAGCTAAACGAAACTTTTTATTTTACCAGGTAAGGCCCACTGAACTATATAGCTTTTTTTTCAGAAGCGACCTGGCCACAAATGATTGTGCAACAAAGTAAATGGCTTATCATGTGGGAATGTATAGCAGCCAAATACTCTGAACGCATGTTTGTAAATGTGGAGGGAAAAACCGGAGGACCCGGAAAAAAATCCTCGTGACCACGGGGAGAACACGCAAACTCCAAATAATACAGGTGTCATGGTCAGCGATTGAACCCACGACCTCCTGTATACCAGGCGAGGTAGTTAACATCTCGCCACCACGGCACAAGAGGTGTCCAGGTTCACCGTACAACTCGATAACCGCTCCAACTCTTATAAAAAATTACTGGGACAATTTTCATTAGCAGCAGAACACGAACGCAATTCGATTACGATTTGCGTTTGTGTTCTTTTGATTCTGTCAAAACATTGACGAGGAAAATGGAAAGGTTTGCTCGCTGATGCAGTGTTACATCATGCCTGTATAATAACAATGTTTGCGGGTGGCAACAATTTCCAGATTTCGAATAAATTGTACTCTTAGGAAATTGGTCTAGTACACAACAGTACTTTTGTAGTGTTTATGTTAATAAGTTATTCTTCTTAGTATTTATCTCATTAAGTGCAGATTACTTTCTGAGTCGACTCTCTCCAGTCTTCGATCTATAGCCATCACCACAGTAACGCTACCGCATGCTCTCATGACCCCCCGTTGACAAATTCTCGTCATGTCTTCTTTGCTCTGCCATTCTCTCTCTTTTACTAAACTTTCATATGTTACAACCATATCTGTCTATTCTCACTCAACTTCTCCTCTCTCGACGATATTAATTTTACTCGTGCCACTTCTGTGTTGCTCACATGCTATCTTCAACTGACTTCACAAATCTATCTCAGCAATATCATCTCTGTCACCCTTATGTGTTCCAGACCATTTTTCTTTCCCAGAACTCCGAGCCATACATGGACACTTGTGTAATCACCGTCACTGTGCACTACTCCTTTAAGTTTTATGTTATTACAGTACAGTATTATTAAATATCGGCATTGCATAAACACAAATATTCATATCACTTGAATATGTATTGGAATCATGTGTTTTCAACACTGTAATTATGCTTTAAAAAAAAAATACTCTCTGGTTCTTTCGGTAAAGTCACGTAGATAGAAAAAAAATAATTTAAAAAATAAAATAATAAAAGAGCACGACGTTTCGGTCGCAACACAAGTGTCCGTCATCAGGTGAGATTGATTTCAGAAACTTGCCCACCGAATTTAATCACTAGTTGATTCAACGACCTAACGTCAGTTTGTTTTTTATGTTTCCTATCATTTGTATTCCATGGGCATGTACGGCTAACATGACAAAAAATGTTTCGCGCACAAACCCGCAAAAACAAAGTCATAGGAATATACAGATACAATAATCTTTCCATACACTGTCATGCTTGCACGTGCCAGATTGACGACGCAAAGGGGCTGTGATGATAAATGCATAGATAACCAAGGTACCCAACATTCTTTCTGTTCCAATTTCCATGCCCAGCCATTTAAAAATAAGAAAAAAAGGCTGTGTGCAGTTATAAAGATGCCTTTTGTTGTGATGGTGCAATGGTCGGCAGGCTGAGTTGGCAATCCAGAAGTCGCCTGTTTAATCCCCTGGCATGAAAGATAAAAAAGGGTAATGGTGCAAGCCACTGCCTGGCACAGAAGCCACCACTACTCTTCCACGCTAGCCAGATGTCTTGGAAGAGACGGAGAGTTACTCACACTTTAATCCACCACACGTGACCTGCCGATCGACTAAATTACACTTAAATTTCGATTTAAAGCTTTCGTGACTGCAGGGATTCATCTTCTTGGTTCTTTCGGTAAAGTCACGTAGAAGGGAAATAATAAAGTAATAAAAATTACACATTCAATATTAATGTATTACTTCCCTTCTACGTGACTTTACCGAAAGAACCAAGAAGATAAATAACACTTGCTGGGTGGACTGAGGCGGGATCGAAATGCCAGCGTGCTAACCGCCGCACACGACGGCAATTTTATATTTCCTACGAAGATTCTGTAAGGCAGCAGTGTCTGGACACAAATATATATTTAACTTGGCTACGTGACACGTTCCCTGGCGGATTCAAGCGAGATGACGCAGCAGTGAGAAGGCAATCAGCAAACATCTGGCGAATAGATTTGACAAGACACAAAGAAAGATGAACATTGCGTGTACAAGAGCTCGTATCCAGACCACAGAGTTAAAAGAACTAAATGTGTATGGATATTTTGATGTTTCGACCACCAACTCAAGGAGTTTCAAGGAGTTGAGAGAATGTGGCCATCCTTATCTCAATGCACACGATGAGGAGGCCCATTGTGTAAAGGTGTAGTGTAAACTAGGATTTGATATGGGGAATGCATTTTGATGTTTTAGGATGTTTAAATCTAATATTAGACAATTCGGATTGTGTTATTACCTCACTATGTACCCTGTTGAACTGTAATATAACACCTCTGTTATTTTTACATCGCAATAGAACCCCAGTTTCCTTATGCTTCAATAACACTAAAATAGAACACACAGAAGTATCGTTATCATGTTTACTTTAAGACCTAATCTCCAAAAGTATATCCACCCCTCATAAACAACATTGATTACAATTTATAACGTAAACAAAAACAGCCTTTTAATTTGTAAGACTGTAAACTTCTACAACTGATGCTATCTGACCGAGGTAGAAGTAGTTTCAAAGTTTGATATTCGCATGACATTCACAACTACTGTATATCACGTTGACTCTTTAAACCATGATGTGTATGAAACTGGCCAATTGCAAATAGTTTCACAACCTTTGCTTACGTAGAAAATTACTGAGTGTGCTCAGAATGTGTGTGCTGTTCGTCGTGTGTGTGTGTATATATTCAACAGGTGCTTGCTAACAGCACTTGCCCCAAGTCTGTTAAATGCTCAAATGGGGGATTCATAATAAAGGTTTTTGGGTTAGATCGCGTTTCTATGATTGTGTCGTTAACCCACTACTACCCGACACACCCGACTCGTAAGATTTGTCACGTACACGAAACGTGCCAATGAGTTACTACTTCAGAAAACGCAGTGTGTTGGAGAGTAAATCCACATTTTTACAATTTGCGTACGACATTTCGCTGGCGGTGTCGAGAACCATCTTTACTTGACAACCCCTACAAACCCCTACCAATTGGCTTGTCATGCGGTCGTGGTGGGTTAACGCCACATGAATATTTTCCGCGATCTAACGCAACAACAACAACAAAAAACCTTTACTACGGTCGCGAAAGCCTGCGTGTTGTATCAGGAGGGTTTGTGTCTTTAGAATGGTGTGTGTGAGAGTGTCGCGACTTGGTTTCGCGACGGTGGTGGTGGTGCTGATGGGAGCCCCAAAGCGAAGTGGCTCACTCAACTCGCGTCACAAACCACAACGACCTCAGTTCGATTCGGCCAAGGTCAGTGGCAAAACAAATATCCGAAGCGCTCCGGTGCATGCATTCCCCCCCCCCTCGGGTCTACTCGGCATTAAATGAGCGCCTGGTGCGGTGTGCATGAAAGATCAAGGGCGACCCGAGGCGTGGTGCTGACCACGCTAATGCAAGATGCGTGTTCGCTCACGGCAACTTTCCCCCAACACGCTCTCAACAGGCGTTTACGGGTGACTTGGGAGAGAATATTTCATCTCCGTGTGGTTTGAGCTCGTTTATGTACGGTGAGCATGCGTGCGCTGAAAGTTGTGTTGGCGCCTACCTGCAGGCAAGCGGGGACGTCTGCATCCACCTCGGCTCATCAGCAGCATCATCAGCAGCATCGTGACGGCTGTTGCAAAGTGAATTGCAGTGCGTTCTGTTGGTCGCTGCTTAATTGCTGCAACGTGCACTGAACTCTCTTGCTTCTCTGTCTTGCTGCTCTTGTGTGCTTGCACTGCGTGCTACAGACACGCACTTTCACTTCCTCCAGAGCCACCGCGCGCTCTCTCTCTCTCTACGTGCGCGCCCTTGTGTAGTGGAGGATGTCACATGATGTTGGGGAATTCCCCACAATGTCCATCCACATTCACACTCCCCTTTTCCGGGGATAATTCATGATTTTATTCTTGCAGTACGATAGTATAGCAGCTGCGGAATAAGGGCACTCGGGGTCTCTTGCCAGGGTTGTTCATATCCGCGGTGGGTGTGTTTGGTTGCAATACTGAGAATGTTACGAGCTTTTTATGTGTGTGGTTTGAGTTGTGACTGCGCTGTGAATTGTGTGTGTGTGTGATTTGAGTTGTGTGACTGTGCCGAGTTGTGTGTGTGTGTGAAAGAGTGCGATTTGAGTTGTGTGAAAGGGTTGTACATCTTGGGCCCCCGCGGTGACGAGATGTGAACTACCTCGTCTGGTATACAGGAGGTCGTGGGTTCGATCCCGACCCTGATGCCTCTATATTTGGAGTTTGCAGTGTTTGATAATAGGGGTTTCTCCTTTTTTCTGGCAACAAAACAGGTTTTAAGATTGTTAAAACACCAAACTGAAACTTTTTACAAGGAATCATGTCTGCATTAACCACAATGCTCGTGGTCAAAATGCAAACCAAAAACACACTCTGATAATATATGCATTGTCCTTAAAACTGATTGGTCCACACCAGAGACAGCTTTCTTTTGAGCCTCGTCTCAAACGGTGTTAGACCAGAGGACGCCTTTTGGCGCTTCTGGCTAGACCAGAGGACGCCTTTTTGAGACGAGGCTCTAAAGAAAGCTATCTCTGGTGTGGACCAATCAATTTCAAGGACAATGCATCATATATTATCAGAGTATTTTTTTTTGTTTGCATTCTGAACACAAGCATTGTGGTTAATGCAGACATGATTCCTTGTAAAAGGTTTCAGTTTGGTGTTTTAACATCGTACCACCTGTTTTGTTGCTATAACAAAAGGGGAAACCCCTATTATCATTTTGTGGTACTGGCAAAGGAGGTCCCATAATGTTTGCAGTGTTTCTCTCCCTGTGGTCGCAAGGATTTTTCTCCAACTGTTCCGTGTTTTTCCCTCCAGATTTAGTATTTGGCTGCTATAAATTTCCACGTGATAAGCCACTTCGTTGCGCTATAAATTGTGACCAGGTCGCTTCTGAAAAAGAGCTATACAGCTTAGTGGGGCTTACCTGGTAAAATAAAACTTAGTTTAGTAGGACTGTGAGTTGATCCTTTTTCTAGGAGTGGCCCTGGATGCGTGTGCATTGGAATAAGCTGGAATTAAGGAAACAATGCAGATGTGAAATAACTAGTTGTGTTCCCGCAGTATGCTCGTACAATTTCACCTTTCCTCTCATTTAACGTAATGTAGGCGTATTCGAAGCACACTATCTGGTTATATCTCCCGGCGTGTCAGTTGAAACAATGGACGCTTTTTTTCAATCCTATGACCTATGTTCATCCAGCGGTATAATAGGGTGCGGTAAAGAATGTATACTCCCACCTATTCAGAGACGTCCAGCTCACGTGGAGGAGAAGGTCAAATACCCACGAGAGGGGGCACTCGAGAACTCTTTCTAGTGCCAGCAGTGGCGTGAGAAGGCAATTCCAGGTCTGCTCTTTAACCTTTATAAGTAATCGCATGATTGTTTCTGATAAAGTTCATTATGCAGCGTTTTATTAGAAAATTAATAATACACGAGTGCGTGAAAAGTGCTTAGCTACAGCCTGGCCAAACCTCGATAATTTCCATACAGGGTAAACCACATCCTTCACACGTGTCTACTCCAACCTACCAGCGACCAGGACTGTTGTGTTGTTGTCCTTCCCCCCGCACCTCCGATGAGCACGGTTGGCTATGTACGGTGCGAAAGAAGTTCAACATACGTACAATTGTGTTACGGTGAAATGTTGAGTTCGAAATTGTGCCCTGTGCTTGCAGTTTTTTCAAAGTCCAGTTTCCACGTTGCACCACACTTTTAAACAGCAATTGTAAAAAAAAAATTACACGTTTTTCCATTAGGTGCTTTTAAATACGTGGAACGCAATATGGCACAATGATTGAATACAGAACTCATCTTATCTATGGTATGCGGGAGGTCGTGGGGTTGATCCCGGCTCTCGACGCTTGTTGTGTATTTGGATTTTGTGCGTTCCAGTTGCGCGGATTCTTCTCTCGGTCCTCCGGGTTTTCCCTCCCCGTTTATAAACATGTTTAGATTATTGGTTGCTAATATAAATTCCCACATGATATCAGCTACTTCAATGAGCTATGCTGTGTGGCCAGGTCGCCTCTGAGAAAGAGCTAATAGCTGAGTGGACTTTACCTAATAAATACAAGTTTAGTTGAGTTCCTCTTATTATAATCAGAGTAATCAGTGTAACTGGTAATAGTACGAACTAAACTAAACTTTTATTTCGGATAATTGCACGTAATTATCCGTGGGAGCTGTAGTGTCCGTGAAAACGCATTATCCACAACCCTATTTTTCATATTACGTGCAATTATCCGTAATTTTCCCGTGGATGAATGGAGTAAATTCACAGACACCACCGTGGATAAGAGGAGTTAGGTATATACATAGAGTACATGCTTTAAAATATAGATAATACATAATGGTGTTCGAATATACATTCACTCTTTGTACCAGATGTAAAGTCACGTAGAACAAGTTTTGTATATTAAAAAAAATCGTTCTTTTGTAAAAAAAATAATTGTTCTACATGACTTTACCGAAAGACCCAAAGAATATGAACTCCTGCAGTCATGAAAGCTTTAAGTCAAAATTTATAGTATAATAGTTTGTAATCCCAGGAATAGTTGAAGCTCTTGTTGTTTTCGAGTCTAAGCAATGTCTAAGCCATCTTTAAAAAAATGACAGTGTGCTTCTAAGTACAGTACTGCAGTTGTTTTAGTTCATTCACGTATCTCGTGAATTGTTGTCCCATTAGACTTTGCAAACAGCGTTGTCAGGTGGTTCATTCGATCCCAGAACAGTACAGGGGTTATTTTGATCAGAGGTCGGGGCCTTGTTGAATGTAGTAGGCACTCTTTGTACAGTCTATTTCTATTACTATACGGTGATGTTTTGTTGTTGATCCTTATCTTCCACTGGCATGTTTTGTTTTGGCAGGGTTGATCGTGATTTAAATAATAATACTGAATAAGAACGCCATAACATGTATAAATACTAATATTTTCGCCAACATAATTCCTAATAATAATAATATTCTCAAGATAGTCAGGGTCAGCTCCCCGTCGTCAGCACGTTCTTGCCAGCACTGCATAGAACATGGTTGATTACTAAGACGGTGAACAGTTAATAAGCGTGGGTATTCAGGATATTACTGCACATGACCCACACACATGACCCCAATTTGTACAGGATGTGTCCATTATGTGAAAATATTATCAAAAGAATAAACTGCAATTCAATGAGTGCTTGCTCAAATTATAATTGTCGAAATGGAGAAAAGTTATCTTACATGCTACTGATGATTTGTGCTGAATAACAATACAATACAGTTTTAAGATTTTAAGAATTTGTTGTTATCAGTGAGCTTATCCATAGCGGAAGGGTTTTGCCATGGTGTCATGGTTATCACACTGGACTTGCAATCCGGAGGTTGCTGGTTCAATGTCATAACTCAACAACTGCAACAAGTAGTGTTGTTTTTCTAGCCCCCCCCGCCCACCTCTGTCGACACAACAGTATAGATTGAGTACATCACAATCTATGGGCAAGTGATCTGTGGTGGATTCATGTGTGGTTACTTTCACCTCTTTCGTGACCTCTTCCCAGCGTGGAAGAGTCGACCAAAATATCCTTGAGGGTGGGCTCTCCAGAGCTCCCTCTTGTGGAGGCCCTTACACGAGTGGCAGCGTGAATCAACAATGCCACGGTTGCCCCTTTACCCTTTTATTGCGGTGAGCTTATCAAGGGTGAAGCAAAGCGTTTTGTAAAAAAAAAATTGGGCCTGAGCAGGGTCCAAAAATGTGTGTAAACGCTTTGCAATAAAAAAAATTCAAAGAGGCAGCATCTGTTTATAAATTTGACCTTGCTACTGCGGTCAAGACGTCCAATGTACGTCGTGTTTTCCTGTTTACATAGAATATTCATGATACGATAATTCGAAGAAGTTGCTTGTTAAAAATGATACATTTTTATACAAGAAGTGCCCGTCGCTGAGTAACGCCCTCTCACCCCCACGTCACTTTCTGTCTATCACCCCTTCTAAAACTAATAAATAATGTCCCTGCCTGCCGTTCCCCTCCTCCCTGTCCCACTTTCTTTCCCTCCTTTTTCTATTTCCCCTATTTCCTCAGCCCGCAAGCCTTGGTGTTACCTTTGACTCTTCCTTCGGCCTCTCTGATCACATTTCCGCCACCGCCCGTGCTTGCCGGTTGAATTTGTTCAACATTCGTAAAAATCCGACCGCTTATTTCCACCTCTGCTGAAAAACTCCTCATCCATTCTCTTATCCATACTCGTCTGGACGAATGCAACCCTCTGATGCTTGGTCTCTCCATTTCATCACTTGGAGGAAGTGCCCCCACCATTTTATTCAACATGTGAGTGCTTAAAACAGTGAAAATAGTATGAAAAGCTATGATAAATTATCGTATAATATTCTTTTGGTCTTTCGGTAAAGTCACCCCGAGCTATAAATTATCTGATAAAGCGTTATCTTTGTGCTGTTCGCCTTTTGGCGTTCTCTGGTCTGACACTGGTGAGACGAGACCTTAAAGAAGGCTGTCTCTGGTGTAGGCCAATCAGTTTCAAAGACAATGCCATATATAATTATCAGAGCATGTTCGTTTGCATGTTCACCACAAGTACGTGTGGTCAATGCAGACTTGAATCCTTGCGAAAGGTTTTTCTTTGGTGTTTAACATCTTAACACCTGTTTTATTGCCAGAAAGGGTAACGCCTACTCTTTTTTATATATTCAACCTTCCCTACAATTCCCATACCTCGACCCTCGTGCAACTGCATTGGTTGCCTGCGCATACCGTTGCCTGTTCAAATTCCTCACCCTGATAAACAAATCCCTTCATGGGCTTTCCCCAACATATCTTTCCACTCTATCTTTCTACGCGTCGCCTTCTCGTCCATGTACGTTCTCGATATCTGCTGCCTCTCTTTCTCTGTCCCTCCTTCTCCTTGGGCTCCATCCACGATTTCGCTCTTAATCTCTTCCCGCCCTCCTTCACTGGAACAAACTTCCCCTCCACATTACACAGTCTCATCTTAGCTCATTAGTTTCCACTCCTCAAAACTCACTCATTTTCCCAAGCTCACGACCCCTTAATCTCCCCCCTCATAATCACCACCGTTACTGTTCCCCTCTTCATATTCTCATGGCTATTACTCATTCCCCACAATCCATGCATCATCATCATTTACTGTCATCAATCTCGCTTTCACCGAAACCACG